CTTAAAAAGGTAGAATGGGTTGTCCAGAGTGGAGATTTTCAATGTTTCAATGTTTTAATTTAGACCAGAATAAAAGCATAACGAAGCTGTGCTCTGGTGGGAATGGTTCCTGGGCTGACTCCTCTGCCAGGAGGCAGCCTTGAGTGGGCATGCTGACTAGGATGCCAGCTCGGATTTACTGATGTGGCATGATACCAGTACACGTTTCCTTCCTTACAACACCACATCGTGACTCACACCTTGGAATTATGTTAATTATCTCACATAGTGTTTTTTGGGTATCTCTAACTAAAAAGCATAACTACTGATTTCCTGTCATATTAATGTGAATAAATTTTCATTTTTTTAGTTATTTATATTAGCAAAGAATTCACAATCCTAGTTTCTTAAAAAGCTTTCTCCATCATCTGTGTCACTCTAAAGCCTTTGTAATTCTTTTATTCTACATGTAACCTTTTTGAAGGCACCCTTCTAAAAATTCTTTATGTCATTGCTAAGTTTCAATATTTTTATTGAATTTATTCTAACTTAACAACTCAACACAATCAAAATTTGTATTATACTGTTTTACTTTGAGAATTAGTGTTATATTTACAAGTGCTATTTATATGCTGCCACCCCAACTGTTTTGCAGTTCATTTGATTGAAACTAAAATCATATTGAAAACATATTGTGAAAATATACATGGGACAAATACATCTTAAACTGAATTATCCGTGCATTGAAGCACACACCACATAAAATAAAATAAATTCTTATAAATAACTAATCATCTTAGATAAGAAGTATTCTTTACAATGTTTTTTAAAAAATGATATTTTCATCCATATCAAAGTCTTGCATCAATTTACCAAAAATTTGAATAACAATCCACATTGATACATATATTGTTAATTTTTAAGTTTTAAAAATTGAAGAATGTTGGCTTCATTCCAATCTTAACTCAATTTTTTTGAGGCGTTTAAAAATATGCAATTCACAATAAATACTTATTTTAAAAAAATTAAATTTTCATTCATTATTTTTGAGCTACTTATATTATATGATTTTTTTACTGGTACAATTTTTTAGAAATCTGATGGAAAAATAATATATCAATAAAATTAACCCCTTTTTTAGTGTTTTAAATTGTTAGTTACTTAGTGTAGTTTTTACTTATTAGAAATCGCCACCCTTTCATTTTCAAACTCTTCTAGAAGGAATATTTATATTCATACATTCAGTTCATTGAAAAAGATAAAAAAACAAAACAAAAAAACAAAACAAACAAAAACAAAAGAACAAAAAAAAGTGATTCATTTTCAAAAAATTGTATGTCTGAGATCATACAAAGAAATTTAGTTTTTTCAGATATATTTTGCAGTGAAATTTGTTTAGGAGTATAATAGGGTTGGTAGTTTTTGTTATAAGTCAATCATTACATCAAAAAATTGCAGTATAAAGCCTACAAGAACATAATCAAAGTAACCAACTTCATTAAAAGTGAGGATGTAGTCCTCTCCCATATATTTAATCCCTCAAGGTTCAAAAACATTAATCAAAACTACTAGAGTAAATAGCAAACCACATGCACTTCAATAAAGCTCCACACTATTGTTTTGACTCAAATTTTGTTTCGGGTTCCATGTTGAATATAACAATACTAGTCTACAATAAGTTCGAGAAACAATCAATCAAATGTTACTATAATATTGAATGGATGTAGCATCCCATGCACATTCAACTTATGCTATGAAATGTGAAAGTAATGTCAAACCCTAAAAGTTAATGGCCGAAGGCTTAGGTCTTGCTTTGACTCTTCAAGTCAAAGATGTGGAAATGAGCAAAATTGGGTAGAAGAGATCTGCCCAGCTTTTGCAAATAGCTGCCCATTCAAAGCGAAACTTTGCTGAGTTAGCACAGGATTAATTAACTACTTTGCTGAGTTAGCAAAGGATTAATTAACTACTTTGCTGAGTTAGCACAGGATTAGTTAACTACTTTGCAAAGCTCAAGATTTAGCTACTTGGGTCCTCCAAATTATAAACCATTTCTAGGCATGAATTTTCATTGAGGTGGTTTACATAACTAAATGCTACTGATAAAATAAAATACTTTTTTATTCAGATTATAATATTATGCAGCTAAATCCATTCCATGATAGATAGTGTATTGAATATCATTTCAATGGTCAATCTTTGTGCATTCTAGTTATCAAATATAAAGCTGTTTTACAATTTCTATTTATACAAGCACCATTATATTATTTTTTTGGTATATCTGTAATCTTGTCTTTAATAAATGTAAAGCTCTTCCTTTCAGCAATCTTTTTGTACATTTAGAGTTTGAAACATGCAATTCAAGCATACATAAAGGTGATTTTTGAGATTCAAAACTAAGGTGTATTCATTGGCATATGTTATATATATATATATATATATATATATTTTAAGTGATCTGATTTTATCAGAAGCATGCATGCAATTGAAGCTTGTTTTAAAGCACTTTATTTTTATTTTTGTTATCATAAAACTTTTATACATATTTAATGTATATGCATTATATATATATATATATATATATATATATCAATTTATCTTGATAGATATCTATCTATAAATATTAAATGACTTCAACAAATATAGAAAACACATAGTTACCATTATATTATACAAATGGTAAAGTGTAATTATTTTATAATTTGTATGAATTATAAGAAAAATGTGTTGTTAAGATTTTCAATATTTTGATATTTTTATGTTATATTTTATGTCTCTTGTATTTTCAAACTTACAGGTTCTGATCAACACCAGTAGAACAATTTTTAAAAAAACTTTCCTTGATATCTGAGATTAAAGTTCTAAAACTTTAATTTAAAGATAAATAAAGAAGGTTCTATACTACATAATACATCTTGTTTCTAGACTACCATAAATGCTTGATAAAACTTCTTCAAAAACCATTGTCATGATTAATATTTTCCTGAATTAATTAATTAATTTGTAAATTATAGGTTTAAAAATCAATAAATTATTTAAGTATTATTTGGCTAGAATGTCAAATTTCAATTAGTTGATTTTTTAATACTTTTTTAACAAAATATAATAAACTAATTTGACAATTTTTATACTATTTGTTGTTTTTAACATAAATCCTATTTTACAAAAATAATTAGTCGTAACATGTATTGTTCACATTACAAACATGTTACTTTCACAATCATTACACCTTATCGGATCTTTATAATATAAACAAGTAGTCTTCTGCCAGAGAATACAAAATTTTAACAAAATGATATATATCGGTAATGTCTAGGAAGAAGTAAAACTCCTCCATTAATTCATCCATCCATCCAACGGAGGAAGAGCTCTTGACTAACCCACACGCCCACGTGAAGACGAAAGTGGATGAGGAGGAGGAGGACCCCACCACCGTGCATCCATCCATCCAAATGGAGCAAAAGCGCGCATTGTACGTGGGCTTTTCAGCGCGGGAACGCACCGATGCGACTGCCACGACCAAGGCAAGCGAAGGGCAGAGACCAGGCAGCCACCCGGCCCCATGAAGAAAGCAGAAACAAATCTAATCAAAACCTCAAGAAACACAACAACAGCAACACAACAACAACACAACGCTGCAGCAGCAGCAGAAGAAGAAGAACCGGGAGCGGCAGCAGAGCTCACATGACATGGCATTGCACGGGGTGGGGTGGCCCACACCTAAGACAGGCTCATCAGAAGAGAAGTGGGTTCATTCTCTGCACCCCACAGACTGAAGAGAAAGGAGAGAGACAGAAGGAGAGAGACGGGAGGAGGACACACCCACATGTAGAGAGAGAGAAGACGAGGCGAAGGTAAGGTAACGTCCAAAGGAGACGGGGAGGGTGAAAGGGCTGGGGCTGGATGGGTAAGAGGAGGGGATATTCACCCACTCTGTAATTGAGCGAGGGAGGGAGGGGAAGGAGAAGGAGGGACTAGAGCTAGCTAAGTAGATAGCGAGAAGTGGTAGGGGGGGAGAGAGTGTATGTGAGAGAGAGTGAGCTAGTGAGAGAGAGCTAGTGAGCCTTGGAGGGGGCTGTCACCAGTCTGGGATCCGCGCCGCAAAAAGGTCTGGCCCGCTGGGCACGGCCCGGCCACTGCCCGGGGGGGCAGAAGAAAAGGTTCCTGGCCAATATAGGGCCCTTGGGTACACATAACCCTTTTTCACACCACACCAGTCCTCCTCCCTCGCTCCGTTTTCTTCTTCGTTTTCCCCCACTCATCGTCCTCCGAGTCGGTCCCACTCCGACTCGCTCCCTCCCTCCCTTACACTCTGGCTGGTTGGCAACCCCACTCTCCCCGCCTGCTTTAGCATTACTTCTCCAGCGCCCCGTGTTTCTGTGCTTGTTTGCCTGCTGCTCTTTTGGCTGCTGCTGGATCCTACCCCCTCCCTCCCATCCTCTCTCGCTCCCCACATCCCCACATCCCTTCCTTTCCTCGTCCGCAATCAGCCTTCCATCTGTGTTCCACTCCTTTCTTGCGTCCTTCTACTGTTGGTTGACGTTGTGCTGGTATGTGAGCCTTCGTTTGTTGGTTTCTGGGGCAGTTTCCTTTGAACTGCTGGTGGATCCATGGAAGATTTTCGCTCGTGAGTGCGTAGAACATACCAGTACGATTACCTTGTTGTTGCTGTTGGTGGTTTGTTGTGTGTATGCTTGTTTGGCTGATGTGAATGTGTCGGTGAGTCGAAGCAGCGGAGAACTGGGTCGACGTTGTGAAGTTGTGTGATTTTGGATCGTGAGGTTGAAGTCGGGTTTTGGAACCGAGTTGTAGTGTGAGGAGCATGTGTTGTCGAAGTTGAAGAGTGGGGGTCAGAAATTGTGCTACTTCGCACTTTGTCAGCATCTGATCTCTGCCTTTTGTCTTAATTTGGAGAGTGCTTAGTTGAGCTAGAGTTTGCCAATGAGCTGACAGTACGCATACTTTGTTTAGCTGCAAGTGTTCACCACTTCCCTTATTCGCTGAAAATTCGATCTCTATTTTGCCGCCGCAGCATCTTTTACTGCTACCTTCTTTTTCAAGCATTGATTCCATATTCTCGGTTTCTGGCTCGTGACAGTTCCTTCAATCCTGTGGCCTGTCTTCATTGTGAGCACCTCTGTGTCTTCCCTCTCGCCTTGTATATCTCTCCCTCTCTCTTTCTCTCGCGGTGCTCGCGAACTTTCTCTTCTCTCTTAGTTCTCTGCCCTCCTCCCGCCTTTTACGTTTGCAATTCTACAGTTGACACTTGTACTACAGATTTGGAGCTCATGTGCGATTCTACAACTTTGATAGCAATTCTCAAGGTGTCCTATGTCAAGTGCAACAACAATTCAAGAGCGGCTTTGAGTTTGAAGTAACTTCAAGAGGAAATATCAGCGGTCCAAGACGCAGGTCAACAGTCGGTGGCATGAAGGAGTACATCGGGAAGCCTCTGCACGCTCAGCTTTGTGACGCAAATATCATCATAATTGAGGCTTAGTATCATCCTTCACCGGAAGTTGCTGCTAGCTGCGGGGAACCCGTGAAGCCTCCGCGATCGAGTCTCTACGCATCAAGTCTCAAGGTCGACAAACGGAGAGCCACGAGAGGAGTCATGGACCCTTCCATTCGGGGATGTCACAGCCGCCTCCACTTGTAGCATCACGCCCCCGTCACGCTGTCCCGAAAACGATCCAATTCGGCAGCCGAGCTCCATGTCTGAGATTTGACGCTTCCACGGTCGCCCCTCTGATCTATACCACGCTACCACAACTCTCCTAACATTTTCTTAAAGCCTTGATCAGCAGCTCCAAGTCCAACTCAGGAAACAAATCAGTCTTCGAATCCTTCTCGGGAGCTCAGTCGAATCATGGCAGATACTAGTGTTCAGGGGCCGCAAGACACGGATCAAAGCCAACAAGGAGAGCCATTCTTGCCTCCTGGCTTTCGGTTTCACCCCACCGACGAAGAGTTGGTCAGCTATTATCTAACCAAGAAGGTACTCGACAGCAGATTCACTGTTCACGCCATTGCGGAAGTGGATCTCAACAAATGCGAACCTTGGGACCTTCCTGGTTAGTAAACCTCCGCCTCGTGTACTCTGAGAATCTATTGCTCTGGAAAAGACAGTTTTGGGCATGCGAGGTCCTGCTGCCATCTCGCACTCAGGAAATTTTCCTCCCTTGTGTAGCGGAGAATTTGAGACCGACTCTATCTGTAGATTTCAGAAGAGGAATCATCGGGACTGATGTGAATTGTGGTGCGGCGTTGAATGCAGTGAAAGCCAAGATGGGGGAGAAGGAATGGTACTTTTTCAGCTTGCGTGACCGCAAATATCCGACAGGTATGCGCACTAATCGAGCCACAGATGCAGGCTACTGGAAAGCAACTGGAAAAGACCGAGATGTGTTTGCGCATGGGCGGTCTCATCTGGTAGGCATGAAGAAGACTTTGGTCTTTTACCGGGGCCGCGCGCCCAAGGGGGAGAAGACCAACTGGATCATGCACGAGTACCGGCTGGAGGGCGATGGCGGACATTCTCTACCTCCTCGTGTAAACAAGGTATGCAGGTGTGGTTGTATTGCGTCTTTCCTGTTCGCAGACTGTTACTAAACTCGGGCAGCTAGCGTGTATTGCATATCTGAACAAATTTGAAGAACGTTTTGGATGTGGTAGGGCCAGATCCTGTATACTCTAATGTGCTGAACAAAGTTTTCTTTGTTTTGTGCACAGGATGAATGGGTGGTGTGTCGCATTTTTCAGAAGAGTTCTGGAGCAAAGCGTAGTTTTCTGTTCTCGGATTCACGTATGCGTCAGGCCATTGTGTACCAGCTTGAGGATGTGAGGTCGTCTTTGCCACCGGATATGGACAACAATTCGCCAAACCCAACTGTCACCGATGGCGGGACTTGCACTGATTGCGAAACGTGTGCGGGCACGGAGCAGATGTCTGCTTGCTACAACTGCGTTCACGACTTTGATCACGACAAGGACACCAACGGCGTCATGTCATGGATTAATACGCAACCTGCTGGAATGGACATCCTGCAACAAGTAGGAGGTTTGAACAATCTCAATAACTTGCTCTCAAAGCCGTACCCTATGTACGATGCTTCCTACGAGAAGGGCATGAACCTGCCGAGGCAGCTAGGGTTTACCCCACAGGTGCTGATGCAACCCGCCAACATGACAACGCCTACGGGGTTACGAGTGGCGAGCCTGCGGCCGAAGACAGAGCCATCGTCCTTTAGTGAGGGCGAAGACGAAGCACAGAGCATACCCGAGGGGTATGAATATGGCGCCTGGCAAACTGAGAAAGCCGAGGCTTCTCTCTACAACAATGATGGTACAGGAGATGACTCGTCATCGCCATTGCAAAGTTCCACCGGAGGCACCGAGTTGTCCTGTTTGACTGGAAGCCTGTGCAGTGGCGAGAACGGGAGCTACAAGTACCGACTTCCGGACATCACCGCGCCTGTCGATGCAGGCTTCGGCCACGAAATCTTAACCTGGGCTTACTGACTCGGAATGTCTAGGATTTCAGTAGTGCATCCATTGCATTCTACGCAAGGGTTAGGGTTCGGGTGCGAAACAAATCGAGAAGGATCACTCTCGAACTGTAAAGAAAGAAAAAAGGTGATCCTCCACGCACTCAGTCCTGCTCTGTAGCATCGAGATGACATGGTGCATTTCCCATTACACACCCAGCTGTGTGGACCATCTATATTGTACATTATCTGCGGTACGAGTTTGGGGATTGATATGGAGCTCGATAATGGTGGCGCGTGACCCTGTTTCGACGTTGCGGACTGTGAGATGGCCTTCAGCTCAGTCACTGACCGATTGCAAGAGGGATCTCTCTCCCGCAATCCGCTTCTTTACATTTGTACATACTGCTGTAATTTAAGGTGTATTTTTTGGAAGAAAAAACATCATATACATATGTAATTCTTTTCCTCTCAGCGATTACACATTTTAAGTGCACGGGGGGGCTTTAGCGGCAAGAGCACTACGTACAGAAACGGGGCCCAGTGTATGCCGCTAATGGCCAGACTTCATGATAATTCAGGATTGTAATTTAGGCAGGTATTATGAGGACAGGCGGAGTGCACAAGTCGGATTGACATATTTTGGCATTGCTTTCATTGGATATCAACAAAAATTTGATTGGTAAAGTTATTGCCCGTGGTTTAGACGCAGGATTTCTACAGCAACCTGTATTTGGGCTGGATGGCTTTTTTTGTATGATTCCAAAGTGTATGTCCACCTCTTGCACTGTGTTTGCCCCCATATCTCTCTCTGCTTCATTCTACTGCGGTGGCAGTTTCCCCCATTGTCTTGTCCTATTTGTCTGTTCTTCGACGAGACTAAAGTCCCTTTACCAGCATTTAGATGGTATAACTACAGCTCCTTAATCTCATCGCTGTTCAAAACATGTCACAGTGCCCAGAAGTCTTCCATGCGTCCAACAGCCAGGGCATCAAATTTCAATCTTCCTGGCAAATCTCTCTCGTCTCTATAAGCATCTCAAGCTTTGAATGACGCACAGGTTCACGTGCCATGTCACTCTATCAATAGAGCGGAATCGCTGACAGTCAGCTTGAAGACAACCAAGGCTGCAGGTGTTCAATAGATGCTTCCTGCTTGCGAAAGCATTTTCCAATCGAGCCATGAGCCCCTCACAGATTCCGCTAGTGTAGTCAGAAACTTCTCACCACCATCACTGCTGTAGAAACCTACGCCATAGTGTTCTGGCTTCCTGCTCTCGGCAGTGTTTACCGTAGAAGTAACAAGATCCATCTGAGGTAGAAAGACACCTGAGTTATCCACGATTCTTTTTCACTGGCTGAATTGGGTTGCAGGAGCCTATCCCACTGTCGATCTTTCCGGACTGGAGGATGCCGTCTAAGTGCCAATGCTGGAGGATCACCGTAGTAAAGCATCCGTGCTTCGACTAGATGAGGCATATCTGTCATCGATGTAGTCAAGAAGCCTCGTCGATCGTGTTGCACAAATTTTGGAAAATTGAAATTCTTTTCGTTTATTATGCGAGTTCTTTTCATGTTTTATATTACGTGTTATATCTTTCTATTTCTAAGAATCAGATCCATTAACATATGATATAAAACATGAAAAGAATCTATTTCTATGAATCCAGGTCGATCCAACGTTTGATATGCTTCACATGATTAAAATCATTGAGGTGATGACCTCCTTGTATTTGCTAGTGCTGTAGACAGTCTGTGGCAGGAGCATCGTTCGAACCGCTCTCTGACTTCAACTTATCCTAACGGCGGGGCTGTTTTTGCAGATCAAGCTGTCCTTCAAGGACCCAGAGTTAAATTCTGATGTATTTTTAATGGTACCGATGGCGGATCCTTCATGAAACAATGTAGAATGTGACCACCAAATTTTAGTCGATTATAAAATCCCCCAAAAACATCACATCGGCTCTAGTCAACGCTGAAATGCTTCATGCCATGGGAAGGAAACATGGTAAATTCACCATGGTTTAAAACCTCTGAGCTCGAGCGCGGAATCAACTAACACTGGAACCTGTCTCATCCATTGAAACGCAAGGTCATAATATCGGCAGTGTCAGACCCACTTACAGGCTCAAGAGTAAACTCCAGGATGAGATATTCTAAATAAATAGCTATCGTTCACTAGCAACAGTCATTCACGGTGTGTTGCCATCAAGGATAAATGCGTTCCTCCTGGATTGTCTCTGCAACCACGTGAAGAACATGAAGAAAACAATATTGTAAAACTAGCACAACTGCAACGATGGACACGTTGATAAGAAGAATCTTGGTTCTAGAGTTTCAACCCTTTGGAAAACGCTGTGTGCTCAAACTGATGATTGCAAACCCCAGCGTCGTGAGTGGCACAACATGGGTGCCTAGCTAAGTTTCAAATACCATTGAGCTCTGCAATCAATTGCTGGAAATGGTAGTATCATTACACAAACATCAAACTTCGTATTCATCAATTGACTTCAGATTAACATCAGAAGTCAGCAGCAATTGGAACGATGTTCATTGAACGATTCATCTCTGCAAAGCTAAAAGTCTGAACAGAATATCATGACTTGAAATGAACAAACGTGTCGTTAAATTATTACCTGAGAAGTGGGTACAGCCCAGATTGCATCGCCGAGATTTTGACACCAAAACTTTCCAGTAAAAACAAGACCCATTTACCTCTTTCCATCCTCATCTTTATGGTATTCTAAAGCGAGAAACATGGAGTTGTGTGAAAAGATCGGAAGATTACAAAGACTACATGAGCCTGATGTTGTTTTTAAGAATTAAAAGCTGGTTGGAATCGATGCCGCTCCTCAGTCGCAGGCGCCAAGCTCCACGCGCTGTTGTCCCACACGAGCCTCGTCAACTAGTAGGCTATAATGGTCACCTACAGAAGGTCCCAAAACAATGCCGATGCCTGGATCCCAATCGTTTGACGCCTGTCAGAGCGGATCAGTACCGCACTGCGCTGAGCACGTTGGTCGTGCCTCCTCCGACAACGCACCACGGTGGAATCGATCTGATTCAGTGAAGGAGCTGAATCCGATCGGAAAAGAGGGATTCAACACCACCAGTCGGATCGTCACCATATATCGATGCAACAATTTCGATGCTCCTGACACGTGGAAAAGAATGAAAAATCCCATCTTATGTTTCACTGCAAAAACTTCAACAATAACAACAATATCAACAATATCATCATCTTTATCGTCATCAGAAACTATCCATGCTCGTTAGATTGTCTTCGATCTGGATCTCGATCTCCTCGTGACCTGATGGATTTATAGCTTGTGATGCAGACTTGGATCTGCTACGTGTGAAGCTGGAACGCCGAAGTAGACTCTTGGAACAGCAACGACCGGAGTCTTGATTCGTATCGTTACTCTACATCACACACAAACAATATGTATGTATATATATATATATATATACATATACACATAAGTAACTAGATATGCACACACAGAAGTACATATATATATATATATATATATATATGTTAAGTTATAGTTTGTCTGTCTATAACAAGAGTTGTTTTGCTTTGTAAGAGGCTTTTGTTAATAAGTTTGCGAGGAACTAGAACTGGTTGGCAAATGTAAAACAAACATTCAAACTAAAATTACATTGAGCAATATAGTTTATTTCTAATAAAGGACCATTTTTTAAATATATAACATTTGTCATGAAATCATCAAAAAGTTGTTATTGGGCTTTAAATACAGAGCTGCTCCTCTTGTGTAGCTCTATTCACATTCTCCATTCACATTCAATTGTGTTTCATATTAAGTGTAATATAAGACAAGTTGTATCCTATATTACACAATGTAGGACAAAGTAACCAACGTCCTACATTAAAAGGGCTTGAGCATGCCAAACGATTTGAAACATGCCCAAATTCTTAAATTAACATCTATTTCAAATATTTATCCACAATACATCTTCTCTATGTACAAATTTGAAGGATGTCCAAATTTGTCTCCTCATGATGATATTTAACATGATTAATTCTGGATTTTTACACGGTATACAAAAAATGGAATGTTAAACTTTCCATATCAAACCAAAAAGTAACCCAAATTGTTACAATTTTCTATGGCCGTTGAACTACATGTTTTTGAGCATCATGATTAACTTCCTAGACGTCTGAATAAAGATCACTTTCATAAGCGTCATGTTACCAATCATGCAACTTCAACTCCAATGCTCATTTCTATTTAGTCGTCGCAGAATCGAATCCTTAAATGCCCCAAATCTTAGGATAGTGAAATATTGTACCTCAGGGATCTGCTTCGATCAGGCGTTGTGACCGAGAGAAAATCCCGGGACAATCCAGCAGGATTGACTACCTCTATAGGAACAGGGAGTTGTTTCCGACTGTCATCATTTGGCTAAGGGCTCAGGCAGGCCTTGAAAATCATCATCTATTTCGGCTAGTGAAGCTGGTCTCCGTTGTTCATGTGCACAGGCCTTTTTTCACGTTGTAAACTAACAAACGTACCCACAAATGTGACTGTCGGATGTGGGAATTCGAGTGGGTCACCAAGGAAATTGACCATTTTTCAGGAACTTTCAACCACACAACACACATTCCTGCATTCAGCTACTGAGTATTCCCAAAGGACAATCAACTACTTATTGAGGAAACCGCTTACCTGCAGAACAACTGTCACACTTTCTAGTGCCCAGATATTGATCTCACTCTTTCACACGATTCAAGTGTGAGATGTTGCAAGTTAACCCCTCAAGTTAACACTTGTGGTCTTGTGCCCCGAAAACATCAAACTAGACAGAGCCACGTTCAGAAAGAGGTAGAGAGACCGTAAAACCAGCTAACACCCATGTTCCATGGGCATGATATTGCTCAATTTGATACACGATAACAGATGATGGCTATCAAGTTCTGTTCAAATCTAAGGGGTCCTGTAGCAGCTCTTGCTGTCTGCTTGATCTCTCAGGGGTCGTCTCGTCCGATTGCGAGGACTCAAATGTTGGCCAAAAAAATCCAAACCTAGAGGGTGATTTCTCAGGAGTCTTTGGGATTTCTGGTTTACCGCCTTGGAGGTGGCTTGCTCGTTGTGGATTGGTCAGCAGCATCTGCTGCACATCGTTAGGCAACGAGTTGAAGATTGTGCGTAAATCACTTCTTAGTTTCTTGATCGTCTGTGTCTGTGTGTTAGCAAGCCCTGCCCGCTGTAGCATCTGGAATAAAAGAAGCTGTGTGGATTAGATACCTGAACAAGGCTGTAATAATCAAGGTCATGATCATGTTCACTGACGTAGCTAGAAATGATTGCAATCGAATCAAAATGTTTTGTCTCTTACGAAAATATCCCAAGGTATAAGAATACGAAAGGGTAAAGTAATTACTAAAAGCTAATACGATGCACTCTTAACCGAGTAAACCTAAATAAAACAACAGAAGACTCAAAGAATTCTATAACCATATAGTTGCAAAATTGATATGCACGCATCCTTTCATCATCCACAAAGCACCGCCTGGGAAAATAGTTCGTCAGTTTGTACCTGTAATTCTATGATTAAGTGACGCTCAACAGCAGAAAAAGAGTCTACAACCTCCACTTCTGACATTGACTTCAGAAAGGACTCTACATCAGCCTTGCAACGAGCTTGCCTCCAAATCCGATGCTGTTCTTGCTCAGCTACGGCTCGTCTACGCTGAAACCATGGCATGAAATTTGGTCCCTCCAAAAAACGTCTGTAATGTTTTGGCAACGTCATGCAGTGGTCACAATCTATTCTATCACAAGATAACTGATAACATAGTGATAACATGAATGACGGATAGAGCAAGGCAATCATCGATCGACCCTCATGAACATGACCACCTTTGAATTATTTCAAAAGATGATAAACCAGGGTGTATCTGTAAAGTACGAAAAGCCAACAAACCCTGTTTACAAGCTCAAGGTCCCGAGATGCAAACAACTGCACTTTACATCAAAAGCTTCCCTGTATAGATGGCACAAAAAGTTTATTACCTGTAGAGGTCCAGCCAGTTGGCACGCAACCGCTTGGCAAGAAATTTTCCGGCTCCGCGAGCAGCCAGACCTTCAAGGAAAGAATGTGCATTGAAAGGGGGGAGAGGAGGTGGATCCCGAAAGGGTGATGCTCCCTCCTGTGGGGTAGTTGCACGTAGGTAAGGTCCAAACGGTGCCAGAAAGTTGGTTGTCAATTCCAGAAAGTGGCGCCTCAAAACCTCATTGTTCACCATAGACATTGACTCCTCAGTTTGGGGGGAAACACCAGCGTCAACTAAACGGTTGAGAACTGACGTGTCCGGTTTCGTTGCTGTCACATAACTTGTCCACAAACATTCACGATGCTCTGACATCAAAGAAAGGGGTCCGTCTTTACGAACTCTTGCAACTTGTAGCAGATTTGCTGGAGAGAATCTCGTCAATGGAGATAGCTGTAGTTGCAGAGACAAGCGGCGGTTCCCAGCTTGAGAATTATTATTACTCCTTGCTAGCTTCAAAAGGCTTGGAGTTGGAGTTGGAGTTCCTACAGATATTACATGAGGAATGTTTCTTAGGGCCTTGAGGAAAAAAAGATTGGTAACACCCAGAACCATTGGAGGAGCTTTTTCCCCTTCTTTCACAGAATTAAGTCCACCGAAGTCTGGATCATGGATTGTGAAGTAAGGTCGGAAGTCAACACTACATGGCAGTGGTGCAACTAGGCCAACTAATGCAGCTACTGCCTCGCAGACTTGTGGGGGAGTGGGACCTACCACCAATAGAGGTTCACCCACTAAAAGAAGCTCCCAAAGGACCCACAAATTCATGAGGACTCCTCGGAAAGAACCAAACAAATCAACGTCGTGGAAAACACCCTGAGGAACGGATCTGTTTAAGGGGGGCACTGGTGCCATTGCTGAGGTGAAATCATCCATAGGAGTGCCACAACCAGGAGGTAGCGCATGGGCTGGTGGGAGATGGGCGCGTATGACGACGGTCCCAACCAGTAATTCTATCAACTGTCCATGAAGTGGTGGTGCCCAGCGAGAGACATAAGATGCTATCTGCTCCAAAGCTCGTGCACCAATATCAAAATACATAGGTCCTGCGATTTGTACCAAGGGCTTGAAAACACATGAATAGGGGCGCTCGGAGAGAATGACGACAGACTTTTGTTCACCCCCACGTCTTAGTCTCTCATCCTGCCTTTGCCTATTATCAACACAATGCAATTGTGAGTCTTAAAGATAACTAGCTTCCTAGATTCCACGAATTCATGAAAATGACTAGTAAAGTACAAACAGGAAAAAACCTTATGACATAACTTGAAGAATACTGGGAGGTAGTGTTAAAAAGAATTCAGGCTGATTCCAGCAGCAATACCTGTTGAAGACAAAACCATACAGGTACCGCGGACCTCCACTACCAGGACCACCACGGGAACTCCCTTTCACTGGATCTAGTGGATATCCAGGAAGATTGGTGTTCTCTTCACGACGGACTGAAACAGTGGTAGGAGGATTATTTGAGGAAAGGGTAGGGGCACTACTGCTAGTTATCCTTGTTGCAGGCTTTGGAGAAATCATATTTGCAAGAATGCTAGGGAGCGGCAAACTACCCCATCCACTCCCAGTACCACCCTCCTCATCAGCTGAAGACTTTTCAAGGGCTGCACAACCCTCGCTTATTGAATTTTGTACTCCTTGGGGTCTGTCAAAATTAAGTTCTCGCGCTGCAAGATTGTAAATAAAGCGTTATGATGGACGGACGCAGGAGCACAACATGGACTCTAAACTATCGCAATCTTATACATCCCATCCGTCTTGACAAACAATTTTGTAGAAGTCAACTTCTTATCCAGGAAAATAAAAAATAATACAAATACTAATTTTTTGTTCAAAAGTTCAACAGGTTATGTGGCAGACAAAAAGACGACTTTACCAAGTAGTTAGGAAAAATTGCAAAAATTAGAGCCACTAGTTTGTGCTGACTGTAGACATCGAATAGACTTTGAGTTAGAACATCAGTACAGCTTGAAGGTAGCAGCCGTCAGACAAAGTTACCACGTGAGCATTTGTAAGAGTGTGAGGTTTCAGGTTTCCATAGTCACATGATACTCACCTGTATCATCAACGGCCTCTACAAATGTGTCCGAAGACGGATGAGAGGTTGTTCTTCGTGGTGGAGCTGGATTCGGAGCCGGAATAGTACCACGCCTGCGGATCCGGAAGAAGAATGCGCAGTCGTGCACACTTGCATGAGTACTTCCTTGCGACATAGAATCTGGAAATGAACTGAAGGCAACATCAAGTTCTTCCTCTGGAGAGAGCGCATTAGGTGGATAGCATTCTTCAACTAACTGGCAACAAGCAAACAGGTTGAGGATTATGATCAGTACAACAACATCCAACAGAAAAGTCGGAACTGGTATGACTAATGATACAGATGCACAGACCACTTGACAGCAACTGAATAGAGCCGGTTCTAACAGCTGCCATGCTTAGTCACCATTACGACTTCCAAATCAGAAAAATCTAAATAAACGTACAGTACACAAAATGTCGGATTGATTTGGACGACATCCACAAGTAGAAACTTCTGGATAACCTACAGACATTACTGCGCTCGATCATCCAAAGTCCTTGACAGCGTCACTACTGAAATTGCCCACGACAGTTTTGGTTGTAGACCACAGATTGAACACTTGGCCGTATTTCATAAATACAAGAGTCTAACATTTCCACTATCATTGAAAGACAATTTTATCACTGGGATGTTGAGTGCGCCTACGCTATAGTTATACATAAGTCCCATGATTCTCCACTTCAATCTCTATGCAAGTTTGAACTACCAATTCTGTATCTTCTCCAAAGAAGCCAGTAGTACATGGAGAGGTCCTATCCGTTACAGCTTACCTGCCCCTGTTGAAGATCAAATCGGATGGCACAAATCGCCACCATCCATCGCTGCATAGCAGAGGTATCGGCCTTCCCAACTGGATCACGGCGCGGAACCGCCAAGGTAATACTTCGATTCATCTTAATTGTGTACTATTCCTCAACAAGTTGATTTACCTGTTCCTGTTGGATCTGAATTACTGATTGATAATTACCAGTGAACACTATCTACTAAACAAATCCATTTCTCAAAGACCATTTCTGCCTGGATTGAGTTTGCTCAAAGAATCGCTAATGATATCAGTCTCATCACCATATTGCCTAGATTTAGAAGTCTCTGCCATCTCGACCTCTTCTTACGGTCTTTAAAAGTTCTGACGGAGTCCAACTCGCGTAACACACCCCACATTTTATCTTCTCGTTGAAAAGGTCAGTTGTCCTCAGCCAGCTAGAAATTCCAAAGCTTTTGATCGTGCATCTAGTTGCCCTTGTAGAAGAAGATGCTGCATGCAGCCTTGGCATGCGCTTCATTTTCCATTAGTCAATATCAAGTTCATTTAAACCCCATTCGTCAAAACATGAAGCAGAATGACCGTATGACCGAATTGCCCAACTGGGTGGCTTCACAACAATCAAAATTTGAAGTTAGATCACTCGTTCTCTACAGAGTAGCTGAGGCTTGCGAATGTGCACTGTAAAACAAATCTTATTCACATTTAGCCAAATACGTGATACATTATGGACCTAACTCGGCGAGACCCAAAGCAGAATACATTTGCAAACATTCGAGAAAAAACCCACGGCGATCACCAAAAACAGAAAAAATGGGCCACGAGATATTGAGATTCCAAAACATTTCTTGAGGGAGAAGAAAAACTGGAACACACGCTCAAACCCAAGACTTCAGCCATCACGACATGAGGTCACCTTTGAGTTCCAACGAAGAGCGAAAAAGTAAAATCAGGAGAAACACTTGACACGTACCTCAAATCATTCATCACTCCTGAAACTTGAATAGGCCTGTAAGTCTACATACATTATCCAGATTAAACCACTGTAACAGCATAGAACTCAGATTGAATTTTGTCCCAACTAAGGCGAGGGGAGCTAGGGCAGTCGATCAGCATTCTCCTCTACAGCCCTGAGTAAGCGAAGCTTCAACACCAGCCTGGCCTTCCAAAAGACCAAAAAATTTACTCTTTCCTGCCAACCCTCAATATACACTGTCACCTCTCCATAACACGCCACTGTGCCAGCTCCACCCGAAAGACTCTGAGCTCATTCCCCAAAATTTGTAAAATAAATGCAGAATCTAACCGTCGACTATTCGAACAGTTAAGATACTCACTTCACGGCGCTAAAATACTCCAACCCAGTGTTTCAATGCCCCCTCCCACACATTGATTGACACACGAATGCGCAGCAACCCTCCTCCACTCCACCCCCGCATCAAATTCACCCACGCAATCAAACATCCGCCTCCGGCTCACGTCGTCCACCATACCGAATCACTCTCGCACTCCACCATCACCCCAAACACCGATTGAAGATGCAAAATACGAATCTATCCAGTCCTCCGAGTTTCTTCCTCAGACACAAAACGCCTCATTAAATCTGTAGCGTCGGAGGACCGGTACGACGCGGATCCACCACCCCATCACTTCAATGAAAAAAAAAAAGAAAAAAAACACATTGAAACGTGGGCGATGATTCCCTGCAGCTAGCTCCTCGCAACCCACTTCTCCAATTCACGAGATCGCGTTACCGCCATCGATCCCATCCCACGGGAATTGCCGAAAGCGGCCCTCGGGGAAGGATAGCCTTTCACATTTGAGAAAGAATGGAAGAATAACATTCCATGTCAAATGATATTCAATAGACTCAATTTTAAGTCAGAAACCACTTTAACTTTCCATGGCATTAGATTTACTGATATTGACCTTTGCATTAAAAATTTCAAAAAAAAATTTCAAAAAAAACAACTTTGCAATTTTTTCATTCAAACATGACTGTAATGATATTATCAATTAGAATTTTAATTAAAAGATAGTTTTATGGATTTTCAATATATATATATATATATATATATACACACACACATACATACATGATATTATTTTATAGTAAATAAAATATCACTTTGTATAATTTACAGTCACTGATAATAGATTTTATGTTTTTCAGTTAATATTAATATTATATCAGATTATCATAAATATTAACGAGGTAAATATATTTTATCAAACAGTTGATTATTATATTGTGTGTAATTTTGTATTTTTTTAATAAAAATATGACATAAACTGTGATACTATTACTAATTAAAAAAAATGTTAGATACAGATTTTTAATTTTTTTTAATCATAATTTCTGCATTCTTTTTATTTTCTATTTTTTATGATTGAAACTTGTACGAAAATATATTCCACTCTAAAACTATGGCTAGTTAGACAATTGTAGTATCCTTGTCATTGATTTTTGTAATGAATCTGATTACAAAATATTTTCAATTACTCTATTAAAAAGAAAAGCTAACATAAGCTTCAAAATATCCTTCTAAGAATGCAAATACTTCTAATAGTTACAATATTAAAATTATTATCAATATTTTCTTTTTATATATATAGATAGATAGGCTTTTTATCATTAGAGTTCAAATGGGTTGTTTTATTTTTGTCTATTTAATTATTCCCTCTATTCTTATTTGATTTTTTATTTCTATCTAGTGCATGGAGCTGGGAAGCACCACAATGTGAAATGGCATGGACTTTAGCAAAATGGCACGCAACATGGAGTTTCAAGTCACATGAAATTTTAAACAAAATATTAATTTACAATACATATTTGACAATGTTTTTTTTGTGGCCAACAACATGGGTTTTTACTAGTATGTATGTATGTATATATATATATATATATATATATATAATGAGAGATGGTTGAAATATGTATATATGCTCGTGGTTTTGTTTTTTTGTTCAATTGCTGCACAATTTTTTAAAGCAATAAATATGTTTGTAGTTAACTTGGTTTATTTTATTTTATTTCATTTTAATTATTATTGATGCTTGTAAAAGACATAATAAATATGCAATAAATTTTGATTTATAATACTGTGGAATCAATTAAATTTAAAATCTTTAGAAAATTCTAGAAAACATTTATAAATGCATTTAAAATTAAAGCATGAAATCTGATGAAAATGAGTTTTGTTTGCCAGAATAGAACGTATTGATGTAATAGTTAATTCTCAAATATAATGTCTTATTTTAATATACTTATGATGTATTTTTTACAATCATTTCATTTTTAAATATGAAATATCTTATTTTTTGAATTAAAATGTTAAAGTTTGGGCAGCTGGTCTTGCTCAAGATTTTTGTATATACATTTTTTTAATGTATATTGCTATTTCAAAAGCTCGAAGACTCTTGAAGATTTTTTTATTTTTATTTTTATTTTTATTATTTACTTTTTTGTTTTTTTCCTTCTTTTCTTCTTTGTATTTGTCTTTGTGTTTTATAACGGTGCAACACTTTGGCAAGACATTCTAAAGATACCTTATGAAGTTGAGACCTTGCAAAATCATTCCTCATGTGGTTGTAGATCTTTTCATAACTCATATTCTTTTTTCTACCAGCTCAAATTGTTGTATTTGATTAATATTCTTAAATTGAAGATAATACAAATAATTCAATCTTGCAGTTTATGCCTTAAGGAATTTTGTTGATTTAGGGTGTCTTTTTGGAATCTCTTTTCTCTTCCTGGTGTCAAAAGAGTATTTATTTATACACATTTATACTGTTTCATTAAACAACAACAATAGGTTTTATTTTATTTTTTTCATCATTGTATAAATATATTAAAAGAAAATCGTGCTTGGATTATAATTATTTAAGAAATAAAAAACATTACCATGAAATATTAAACAAAAAAAAAAAAAAAAAATCATTTCTTAATATATTGAAAACTTATCATTGCACACATTTGGGTAACATTGTGGCTTTGCCAAATCACTAGGGACATAATTTAAGATGTACAAAACTATAATTATAATACAATTGAGAGAAGAATGATACAAGTACATAATCAAACATTCAAAAAAGAAAAAGAAAAAGAATGCACATAATTAAAAAAAAAAAAAAAACAATAAAGTAAAATGTAGATAAGTAGATAAATAAATACACAAACACACACATACAGATATATATATATATATATATATATATATATTACAAAGTCCTTATTAGCATTAGCACGGTGATGGGGCCACATGCGGAGACGGGGTCCCCCACTTCCATTCGGGATTGTGGTGTCGGTCCTTGTGTTTAGGGTTTCCTTGCTCTCGTGCATCCTCCTCCGTCGCCATAGCCATTTTTTCTGTTACTCGGCGCTTTTCTACGTGTCGCGGAAGCGCTTCTCCCCAGACATGGCGCTGTCGTCGTCGTCGTGCACTCTAGTGCTCCACGTTCCAAAGGTTTCTTGCGGAGCTGATTCTGTGACGGAGATTTCGCCAAACTTTTAGGTCACTAATCTATTCGATTGGTGGGATCATCGCCGAGACAATGTGGTGGAATTTAACTCTCTGAGTTGGTGAGGAGAGAATTTTTTTTCTTGCGGCGGAGTTGCATGCTCGTTACTATTGGAGACTAGACGAGAGAGACGGAAGCAGATTTGACGACGGAATCTAGCAGCACGCTGTTTGTCTGTGTCTGTGTTGCGGATGAGACACTATTGCGTTTTTAGCAGACAGATCGATAGGTTTTGATGCCAATTACTTGCATGTGACGTGTATTTGCCATTCCTTTAGTGAGGATGAGGTTTGCTCCGAATGCCGGGATTCTGTGAGCTAGACTATCTGTCTGGAAGCATGATATGGAGCCTAGGCGTTCGACAGGTGTTTAGGTGCTTATTTTGATGATAGTGGGAATGGTGACTTAATTGTAATGAGTTATTTCCGCAAAGTCTATATGATTCTTATTTTGGGCGGAATACGAGGTAGAAGAAGTGTGATTTTGGAGAGGGCTGCTGCAACCGGTCTACGTAATCGAATTTAGCGCTGTAACTAAGAATCAAAGTTTGAGATTAAGAACTTGAAATGGAGGATTGTGAAGGCGGCTGGGAGGAGCTCCGCAAGGAGGCACGGAAAATCGAGGGTGACCTTGACGTCAAGCTGTCTTCATATGCAAAGCTTGGAGGCAAGTAGTGATTTTTGCTTACTCCTACTATTACATCGGATACTGTCATAGATGTGATGAGTTGGTTTCTCGTTTTAGTTATTCTCTTTACCGTGAGTAAACTCCGATTTGCAGACGAGTTGTCCAAGGTGTGTGTGTGTGTGTGTTTTTTTTTTTTTTTTTTTTTTTTTTGTCATTTTCCCTTTTTTGGTGTCATTATGCACAATGTGAAGAGAAGCAAAGATAGAAAGGAAGTCTGGTGTTTATGCTTTCAATTCTTTTCCCCTCTTCTTAGAATCAGAATACAAGGATGAATTCCGTTTATGTTTGACGTGCACGAAGTATTCTCTTTTCTGCCTAAGCAGAATCCGAACAATCCTCTTACGCCAGTGTAGAAATTTGAACTATCAATACCTTCTTCTGAAATCTGCACGTAATCATGGCTTGTGTACATCTCTGCAGTCTTTTTCCTACAATGATTTCCTGCCCTGTTGCTGTTCTAGCTTCTGGAATCTTTTGAACTCTGAAGGCTTTTGGAAGGACCCGAACCCTGAAATGGCGTGTTCCTTCTACATTATTTACTGTTTCAATCATAGGAGATGGACGTATGTGTCCCCCTTTAAATGCGAGGAATTGCCAAGGCATTATGCTTGTCTTCCTTCTAATAAATTTACCACATGGAGTCGAAGCTGCAGAGGAATAGGAGCTCACTTAACAGACCTGATGTCTCATTTGTTACCCGTTTATGTCAAGGCATTTGCTGCACTTGTGCAGAATTTTCTATGATATTTTTTGTAGTATGTATTCGTTCTTTGGATAACTTAAAAGTAAAGATCGTATCCCTTTTCCTCGTTTAACAGGCATCTTTTATGTCATTTAATGACACTTGGGATACACGTTTACCATCATCGTTAAGTCTTGCACATCGTAACCATGGAATTCTGGATATGCAGGTGATATTAGAGGGGATGGGTCATGGAAGTCTATGGAATTGGAGATTGAGTCACTGTTGGAAAAGTTGTTGGATGTCAATGATTCTATGAGTCGATGTGTGGCGGCTGCTACGTCCACCACCTCCGTGACGCAGAAGCTCGCTCGACATCGGGATATCCTTCATGAGTTCACTCAGGTTTTTTCATGACTACTTTAGAACTTCAGTTATAAGGACCAAAATGGGAAACTTCTCAGAACTTAAATTCCCCATTTTTCAAAAGCATTTGACTGTCAACCGCATCAGAAGCGGCTTGGCATTTTTAAGATCAGTTTAATGCATTCTGAATCTGTCAAAATAGCTAACTTTTCCTCGCAATGGATACGTCAGGAATTTCGACGGACTCGAAACAACATAAGCTCCATGCGAGAGCATGCTGAGCTTCTGACCTCTGTTCGTAATGACATCAGTGATCACAAGGTATCTTTCCTTTTCAATTTATTTTTATTTTTTACTATTGATTCTGAAACGTTTTATTTTAGTTCATAAGTACTGGACTATTGGTTCAGTTGATTGTTGATTTTTTTATTTTATTTTATTTTATTTTTTCAAGTCCTGTTCTTTGTAACCTGGCAGGCATCTGGGAACACTTCACCAGTAGCAAGCTTGTTGAGGGAACGCGGATCAATCCATGGCAATATTGCCCAGGTTAGTTATTTGTGCCAACGCTCAAGCCCGAGTTTCAACCAAGCGAGTTCTTCCGAGAATGATGTCCGTAATTTTGTAACTCATCAAGTATCTGAGCTTTTACTTCTGCTACGAGGTGTTAAACTAATTTTGTAGTGTGTTTGAAAACCGATATGTAATAGAGTGTGTGCTTGCGCTTTAAAGTGTCTTAAAGAAATGATAAATCTGCTGTGAAGTTCATTCTCACGGCTTTGGAAGGAAATCGAATAGGTGCAGTATCTGAAATTCAAAGCTCCTCAAAGTCAATGGAAGTTATGAAGAGTGGGATGGATGTTTTGGGTCAGATGGACGAGGTTATCAACATAGCCCATGCAACGAAAGGGACACTCGGGGCTCAACGAACAACCTTCACGGAAATACAGGGGAAAGTAAAGCAACTGGGGGATCGATTTCCTGCTATTCGAGGAGTATTAGGTATGTCGTCATTCACACCTGTTTTCATCTTGAAGAACGAGGTTTAGGAGATTCTTGTGATGAACTTTGTGAGCTTCCTATCTTATTTGCATCTTATTTTATTTACATAAGACGGGACTTTGTAATCACTTTTTGCTTTACATAATTCAAACGCAGTGAATGTTGCGTAGTGGAACCTTAACAATGTTAAGTATAAGACTGCTCATATTGCTAAAGAATTCTTTCAACCCATCCATGATTACTTCTGGACATTTGCATACCCTGTCTCATTGTAGTCCCAGGGTTGACCAAGTTGAACATGTTTTTGATTGGTGGTGCTGCAGGAGCAATCAAGCGTAAAAAATCGAAGGACACCTTGATATTAGCAGGGGTTATCACTGGTTGCACACTCTTCCTCATTATTTACTGGTTAGCCAAGTAAAATTTTCGAAGTGGATGACTTTCCAGATCGAAAGTGCAGCAAGTTTTGAAATGGTCATTGGAATATGTAAAGATATCTAATTTAGTCATAGTAAAAGTTCAATCGTGAACGTTTATTAAATAGCGGCCGGGTCATCGGGTGTGGTCTATTTTTTTGCCACTATTGAAGAGCAAGCTCAGGTCAAGGAAGATACACAGTCTCCATGTTTCCACATCACATTCTAAGGTAGCATGTAGCATCATCGATAGAACTGCTCTACATTTTTTAGTTTTTGCTCTAGCATTTTTTAGTTTTCATCTTGAATGTTATGGTATGTAATGGAAAAGTGTAAATTATGCATATTGATAGGATTCTAATGAATTTATTGATTATAAGTTTTCCAAAGCAGTCTAGCACGCTTAGCATTGGTTTCTTGCGTCTTATTGTCATTATTGAACTTTGCAACATTTCAATTTTTTGCATACATGGAAACGACAGTTTGTTTAGTGAAATTGCTTCGGCTAAACCTACTTATCACTTATCAACTCGAAGTTTTGAAGGGGTTTTCCGTTGCGAGGTACTTTTATCAGTATGCTGACGCGCAGCGTGACATAGTCACAGAGGTTCTGTCAATTATTTTTCCCCGTGAACGCATTTCGCTAGTACTCTTCTAGAATACATAGTTGTACTGCACAACGGAATTGTTGAATATTTGTATGTTCTCTTTTTTTCAAACGATAGCGAGGATGTGTAGATTTAGGTTAGAAGTAGATGATCTATACTCCTTGTTTGTCGAGTAGACAACAAAGTAGAACATAGTAAATTATCTAGAAGTTGTTGTAAATTTGTGTAGTTAGAAATGTAGGGTACTTGACTCATTACGACCAACAGATTACAAAATAAGTACCACAATTGACAAACTCAGTCAGTCTCACAGTTCGCATTAAACATAACTGTGCATTTTTATATAAGATAAATAAATTATGTTAATGCTACAAAACCAACAGAGGCCTGTCATGTTTCGTAATGGAAGTAAAATAACGGATGAGAGTGAGCAAGCCTATCAACCGTAATAGTGATTGAAATGCACAACATACAGCTCGTGTCTAAAGCAAGAAATAGGAGGGAGACAAATTTAAAGAACCTTATGTAAGATACAATGAAGTCACCTGTTTACTGAACGGTAGCATTTGCCACAAAATATGAACAGTCAGAACATTTCAGTTCTTCACGGGAACAATTCTGGGGAAGCACTCTAGAGCAGGAAAGACAATGAACATTCAAAATCCTCCTCGAAGGCGCAGCACCAGGTGCAGTGTTGACTCCTTCTGGATGTTGTAATCAGCAAGAGTGCGACCATCCTCCAGCTGCTTGCCGGCAAAGATCAGACGCTGCTGGTCAGGAGGAATCCCTTCCTTGTCCTGGATCTTAGTCTTCACATTATCAATGGTGTCCGAGCTCTCGACCTCCAGAGTGATAGTCTTTCCGGTCAGAGTCTTGACAAAGATTTGCATGCCTCCTCTCAGCCGCAACACAAGGTGCAAGGTAGACTCCTTCTGAATATTGTAATCCGCGAGAGTTCGCCCATCCTCCAACTGCTTCCCAGCGAAGATCAATCGCTGCTGATCGGGAGGAATACCTTCCTTGTCTTGAATCTTTGTCTTCACGTTGTCGATTGTATCCGAGCTCTCGACCTCCAACGTGATTGTCTTGCCCGTCAACGTCTTCACAAAGATTTGCATACCTCCCCTCAACCGCAACACAAGATGCAAGGTCGATTCCTTTTGGATATTATAATCAGCCAAAGTACGACCGTCTTCCAGTTGCTTACCTGCAAAAATAAGCCTCTGCTGGTCGGGAGGGATGCCCTCCTTGTCCTGTATCTTTGTCTTTACATTATCAATAGTATCGGAACTTTCCACCTCCAATGTTATCGTCTTCCCCGTCAATGTCTTGACAAAAATTTGCATACCACCCCTCAACCGCAACACAAGGTGCAAGGTCGACTCCTTCTGGATGTTATAATCCGCGAGAGTACGCCCGTCCTCCAACTGCTTCCCAGCGAAGATCAATCGCTGCTGATCGGGAGGAATACCTTCCTTGTCTTGAATCTTTGTCTTCACGTTGTCGATAGTGTCCGAGCTCTCGACCTCCAACGTGATTGTCTTGCCCGTCAACGTCTTCACAAAGATTTGCATCCCTCCCCTCAGCCGCAGGACAAGATGCAACGTCGACTCCTTCTGAATATTGTAATCGGCAAGGGTGCGACCATCCTCCAACTGCTTACCGGCGAAGATCAACCGCTGCTGGTCGGGAGGGATGCCCTCCTTGTCCTGAATCTTGGTCTTCACATTATCGATAGTATCCGAGCTCTCGACCTCCAAGGTGATGGTCTTACCGGTCAGGGTCTTCACAAAAATCTGCATCTTAAAACAAGTTCTCACAAACTCTACTACAATTTCTGTATACAAGACACTGGAAAACCGATCCTAAAGCACAGAAACACGCCTTCAATAACCGGAAAAAGAGGCCGAATGGAGAGAAGTACCACCAAGCAGTGTCGGATCTGGAAGAGTTGCGTTGCTTTTAAGGCAAGAACGCCAACCACCCAGAACGTTGCCCCTTCTCGTTTTTCACGACCTGCCCGTCTACCCGAATCCTACGCCCTGTTGCAAAAACGTAAACTGCAATCAAATGGTTCCTCGATTTCTGTCTCTTTCTTTTAATACGTTTTCACCAATATTAGCATACTTTCTCTTTGGGAAAGTTCACTTTGTCTGCTCCCAAAGAAGAGAAACGCCGTATGGTTTTATTTCTTATCGACTGTCATGCGAAGTCACATTGATGTTGTGAAATCACATACTATTTGTAATTTATAATCCGAAGTGATCAATACTGGAAGTGGAAATGTCTTTGACATGAAGGATCTAGGAAGGTATAATCCCTTGAGTGTCACTTTTTGTAGGACTTGATCCTAAGAAAGCTCCACCAGGCTATGTACTCAGCTGATTTTAATATCCTTTGAATCGTATGTAATACGAATATCATTGCAAAAAAAAACTTTCTTAATACGCCATCACCTTAATATCCTCAAAAAGTTTAAAAACACTTCGTAAGGTGAAACCCTATTTTGATTTAAAAACTGGACCGAATTGGTGCCAGTTAATCACTTAAATACATGTACATTAAATAAATCAGTTGGAGTAGCGGTTGGAACAGGGTAATAGTTGGAGTTTAAGAGGACCGAGTGCCCAAGTCGGAGACCCATTTCCAGTCGGAGCGAACGAACAGACTGACGAGCAACGAACGCATGGACGGGTGGACAGACGGACGCGTCACACATTGCCACTAATGGCGGGACGAAAGGACGAAGAGCGGAAAGAAAAAAGGAGGAAGGGGTGTCCTCTAAGTCACGTTTCCTTTTCGCCTTTTCCGGTGCTAACTTTCTCGGTTTACTTTTTGGCACATCTTTGGCTCCACGGTAGAAGGCCCTGCCAGAGGCAGAGTTTAATTCCAACGCCAGAAGGATAGATGCCACGTGAGCAATGACAAGTGGAGGAAATGCCCCCGTGAAGATCGTTATCATTCCAATCAAAGTGGCTTGGGTGATGGGTATCTTTTTTATCATACCCGTCTACGTGGAATTTTCCTTGGGGCAGCCCGATAAGGCATTTACACAGCAGCGCATGCACATGTATTCACTCCTATATTAGCAAGTTCCACACATCGAATCCAGAAAAACACAGTTTCCTCCTATGTTTGTTGGACTTTGGATCAGCTATTTCTAATTTTAGGGCAATATATGTTTCATATTCCATGATTCTCTATTGACCCACCACCACTAACAAAAGAAATAACAAAGGAGGAGACGTTGATCACTACACTAGCGCATATCTGAATATTTAAAAGACTGTGCAATTAGATAATGACTTATCATAGTTGGTTTTGCAAGATTTGTTTTGTTATAACAAACTATTTCATGACCCACGTATCAAGTGAATTTTTTTACTACACAACTTTTGTTAGTATAATGACAATTATTATCATTTATTCGATAACGACTCATTGAAGTAAGAGCGTTAGATTCTTATTTTCAATACACATTAGAAAAAAAAATACAGCAACAGAGAATAAGAATCCAAACACAAAAGCTGTAGGACAAAAAACAAGGAAAGATCGTTCTTAACTCTTCGAGGTCACTGACATGATATTGTGAAGATTTTGCAGACGTCCAGTTTAATTTTAGGTAGGGGATTGTTCCCAATTGAATGGTGGGGAGGTTCACACGCAGACTCATCGTGGGCTCCGCCTCGAGATCGGATGGAATCAACTTAAATATGACGTGGCAAACTCTGCCCGATGGTGTGGCACGCAGGGAGAAAGGGACAGTGGTAGGTCCCGCATGGGTGCCACCTCAGCGCATTTTGGTGAGGGGCATTGGATAGGCAAGAATCGTGGTATTTGGGGAAGGGCTGATCCCGCAGAATTCCCTCACTTTCACAACTTCCAAGCTGTACAAAGGACAAGTTTCGACAAACCAGAACTTGACAAGTCAGCATTCACCGCAGCAGGAGGATTGGACATGGTGGAGCCACCGTGGCTCAAGAGGGAGTTGGCCTGCAAGATTCCCTTGCACCCTTCCAGATTCCCTTTCTGGTCAAGATGCTCTCGGTGAACGACTATTGCAAAAAGGCATTTAAAAAGCAAAAGCAAGTTAGCAAAGTGAGGGGTGGGATGATCCACTTGGTTGGTGGATGACCCTCTAGGGTCCTCCACTTTCTCTTCAACGTTGTTGCCCAAGTGGAAACTTAAAATAGTGGATGTGAATGGAACAGAATCAAACCACATCCAAAGAATCATGACATCACACACAAATTTGTTAGTGGACATTCATCTTCTCTCTTCCTTTTTCTTTTTCATAACACTTGATTTCAAATTGTAAATGTACATAAACATTATATGAGTTTGTTAAAATCAGTTCAAGTGTTGGACCCCATTCAAATGAGTAAGTATCTGCAAAATATCCGAAGAGAGCATAATGGAAGGAAGGAAAGAAGGAAGGAAGGAGAAGGGGGAGTGGGAGTCCAAGTGATAGGGTACCTATAACCGCGCTACCAGTTTTTAGCAGGGCAAAGCAAAGGGGTTCAATCATCTGCTCCATCACAATCCCTCCCCCATGATTGCATACTACACAAAGGAGACCCGGCATCTAATCATAGATAATTCTACGTGTCGTAACATCGTTCGTTCATAATAACGCTACCAGATCTTAACACGTGTCGAAACCACAACCCATCCTCTCATCCACGTCGCGTCTTTGTCCTTTACCTGTAAAGGAGAGAGGGAGAGATTAGGGTTTTGATTCATCGCACAAATTGTGCTTGACGGATGAGTGATGGAGAAACTCATGGGCACCAGAGCTGTATCTGAACGCAACGGAGAAAGTAAGGCTGGGGCGCACAGACTGACACCAACACACACACACCACCACTACCACAGTTATGGTACCGCACAGCCCCGAATAATGGTGCCAGTGATATCACACGCTGCAACTCTGTACCATTCCCCCACATCCCCCCCCCCTCCCCCTTCTCCAGGGACCTCTCTCTCACCTTGCACGAAACATCGTCGTCTCCGCTTTTTCAAAATGCCTCGGAGTTCATATCCACTAGCTCTCAACAACAACAACAACAGCAGCGTACTGTACTTCGGTGAAAGCTCTCTTTCTGCCATGAACTCATGAAGGGACGACCACTTGGAGTTCACATCACACTCCATCACTTTAGTTGCGTCACGTATCAATTGAGCTTCATCTTCCAGTCGGACTGTTTTTTAATTAATTCTCACTCAAGTTGTCTCGACATTCAATATTTGTGAAAGAATGAGTAATATATTTATAATCTTGTGAGTTATTGCTTACAGTAAGGTCATAATTTGGAAGTGTAGGTTGAAGTGGGATGGAAGTGATTAAATACAAATATTAGAAGTTTGAGATCTACTTACGTATCTAGGATAAAAAAAAGTCACCATGTGGTTGGTTGGTTATATATATATATATATATATATATATGTTTTTTCTATTATCAACATGATTTTGTATAAATGGAAGGAATAGTAATTTTAGAAAAGAGTAGTAATTTTAGAAAGGAATAGTAATTTTAGAAAGTTGCAGTTTTGTAAGATAAGAATACCAAGTTCAAGCTTTCACAAAAAATTAACAATTTTGTAATTGGTGCACAATTTCTTCACCTTTGTGCACCACACATTGTTTAAAATAGTTGTGGTTAACATTCTCTATCTTGTTGACTTTTACCTTCGTAGATACGAACCATTGGAAATGTATGCCATATAATCTTTAAAAAGCTGATTGTTTATTTATTTGTTTAGCCATCAAAGAAAGTAAGTTGTTGGAAGAGTGTCATTGTGTACTTTTCCTAGACTACAAAAAATAATATTGTAACAATTACAAATTTAGAAGTGTCTTACCTTAATTAAAACAAATAAAAAAATGATTGTATATACATAACAAAAGAGTGATATATGCTATTCTTTGGGATCCTATCTACATGCATACATTTAATAAGTCTTTTAATACTGAAAATCTCATTCTTTTCAAATTGCTCTAAATGAACCAAAATATAATAAAATAGAATTTTGAAAATATTCTAATGTACAAGTAGTCCAAAATGTTACTTCTAAACAATCTAATATTAGTTAATTATTACACTTCTAAGACTTGTAATACATGTACAAATTAGACCACTTGTATTTAGTTAAGATGTCGTTAACAGTAACATACAGTTTATTATCTACCATTGGTAAAAGATGAATTAATTGATTTTCGTTACTTTTCTATTCCTAATATTTCCAGGTTGTCTAAAAACCAATTATTCCTTTAAATAGAATGTTTTCATATTTTTTTGGATTTTATTATTTTAATTATTATTTTGTATGTTAATGAATATTTTACATCATATTTATAGATATTTAAAGTATAAACTACTATTCAAATTCAGATTTTATTTTGGGTTTTAAAGTTTAAATAAATAAATAAATATATATATATATATATATATATATATATATATATATATACAATAATGTTTGTTAATACATATGGTTTTTTTACTTGCAGTAGTGCAATAAATGTTGAAAAATATTTCTACTCCTGCAATATAGTTATAATTATTATAATTATTATATCTAGATTTATTATAAAAAAGTATTTTTATAAAAAATAAGTAAATTCTATCAAGTAACTTGTTATAAGTTTAAAAACATTCTAGAAGATACTAAAAGCATATGTATAAAATACAACAATAGTTCCTTGTAAGAAAATATATTAAATATGATTTATGCATATATATAGAGACATATTTTTATTACTTATGAGATATAATATCTTAATGAAATTCATTCATACATTTATTTGTTTTTGCTTCATATTCTTGTATTGCATAAGTTACGGTTGTCTAATATTATGCATTCTTTCTTAAAATTTGAGTCCATCATAAATTTAAGATTTTAAGTGATCTAAGTTACATATTTATAGATAATGGTTTTTTTTTCAAATTTGAATTGCTTGAGATATTTGAAGTTTTATTAAACAATGACTTTTGAGGTAGTTCCAATTATAGAGACCTGTTTGTAGAAGAGATATTTATTTCATTGTTCTTTGATTTGTTTTTTAAATTAAATATTATTTATTTAATTTAAAACTCAAATCTGAAAAGGTTATATAAGTACCTAATTTAAATTTAAATTTTCTATAAATATTATTTATAAAAGATAATATTTATTTGTTAGTATAAAATTCAGTTTATCCTTGCAATCCATATTTCTGTCTATGTATTGTAATTAAATACATGTTTATTTTATTTTATTTTATTTTTAATTTTAATTTATCTTGTTGCTCTAATAGGATATTGAAGAATTTACTCACATTCATTTTTATCAAAGAGTGGCTATTGTTTTTGCAATCTTATTTTATATTTTTAATAAAATTTTAACCAATATTTACTTTTAGAGTAGACAGTGCATTTTTTTAGTTTTTTAAAGTTCTACCAATTTAAAATGCTAAAGACATACATCTTTAGACAGTAGATTTCTTCTTTAAATTAATTGATTTTCTAAAATATGTATATTTTTACATTTTGATTTATATTAGCAAATTTGAAGTATAAATACTTAGATATTTGATTGATCTATCTTAATTATTGCTGTTTATTAGCATTGATTTAAGTTTTTTGTTTGGTTCAATCAATCGTATTAAGTCTCATTTCTCTTGTATTTTTATAACCTATTTTCTTGTAATTTATTTATTTAATTTTAATAAGCCATACTTGTCAATATTTTGGTAGTATTATTTGGTTTATTATTTTTCTTACTACTTAGAGACGTATATATATATATATATATATATATATATATATATATTAGAGTTTTTGTTTGATCTTATTAAGATACTTGCAATATTTCTTTCTTATTCTTTTATTTGCAAAAAAATTGAGTATTTATTTATTATTTTATTTTACTTATTATTTGTACAATATGATAGGTTTTTTTTTTTTTTTTTTTTTTTTTTTTTGGCTTATTGCAACTCACTTTTTGAATATGTTTATCAATAAAAAAAATTCCAATAATAAAAGAAAAGACAATTTTTGTTAAATTCATTATTTAATAGATTTTTTTTAAAGAATTTAATTTTCCAATTTCCATTCATGTGATTTTAAAAAATAAATAAATTACCATACTAGATTGCTAATAAAAATTTAATTTTTTTTCTTCTCTTTTTTTTTTGGATCCCTATACAGTTTTTTCAATGAATTTGTTAATTATTGTAGTACTACTTTGAGATTTGTCTTGTACCTTTGTAAGCATGGTTCATATTAGGATTTGAAGGGTTGGAGATTGAGAAGAGTTGAAGCTGTTTATTACTGTTATAAGATGCATGCACTCCCATTTGAATGTTATAGTAATATATCAACAATTTGTGTGGCAATCTTGTTTTTTTATAATAATAATAATAACAGTAAATTAAAAAAATACATAGCTTTTCTTTTAACCAAATGGTTTTGATAGTTTCTTTAGTAAGATTAGTAATCTATCAACTTCTCTTAGCAACCAACACACCATTACAAAGTATACAATAATAATGTATTCTTTAATACATATCTACATACATACATACATACATACATACATACATACATACATCTATTTTTTAATTTAAAAAGTCAATAGTTGTTACTACTATCTTCATAAGTAGAATATCAATAATACCGCAAAGTAAATTACAAAATAAATTATTAGATTTTACTTCACCTTGTCAAATAATGACATAGAGGAATAACTATAAAAATCAACTTTGGTCTAATGCAAATAAGTTTTAGACAACTTCTCAAGTCATCAATTGCACTAGAGCATGAAAAACCTTCTTTGTAAAAGATTTGACACTTACTTTCTCCATCATCATTATTTTTTTATTATTATTATTTTTTATGGGTATGAATCTTCTTCTAACTACTTCTAACCACTGCTAAAAGCCTTTTGAATCAAACAAGACAAGAAAAAACACCTTTTCATTTGCAGTGATTGTGAAAACCTTAAATCTCCTACACCAACCAGAACTTAAGTTACCACCACTACGTCGCTGGAAATTTAAAGTGATATCCTGAGCAAATTGCAGATTGAATGACAAAAAAAATCACTCGAACAAGACTTCCCTCTCGCAGACTGCAATCTCTCATTGTGTAAAACAAGTCCATGAGGGCAAATGCAAAGGAAAAGGTGCATTACTGGAATCGGCATTGTAGGTGGAATTCTAGTACAAAGGAGTACTAGAGCATTACAAGGCACCAGGATACTTGTTCACACAATGCAGGTGCAGATTATGAACCTGGGTGCGGTTCAAGCAGATGGGTCCAACCAGAACACAAGCCTCAATAAATCCAGTCGTGAGTGGATTAGACTGTACTACTCTCCAGTTTAGCTTTCCATGTCTATTGTGGCATTCAGGGGGATCAAACACACAGCCCCACAATCTTCTTCTGCTGCTTTTGTGATGTGCACATACCCTACTCACTTGTGAAAATCATCAAGGTCACTGAGTGTTTTGTAGGTGGATCGATGTAATGCCTGCACTTGCTAGTGCATGTCAAACCATTCTGCCATCCAACCCAACACTGGTTAAATTGTGTTGGTTTCCCTTCAAGATTTTGGACGAAAAAGGTTTGTTGAAAGGAGAATCATGGCGAAATGTGCGAGTACTTATTCAGTTACCCATTCTGTATAAATCAACAGAAATTGCCGTCTCTGGCATGGTTGAAGAACTGTATCGATGACAGTGGCAGTCTGTTGAAAAGTTTTGTTCTCATCTGCGTCGCACTGTTCCTCAACCTCCTGCGTTATTAAGAGAGATACCATATTCTCAAAAGCTGCACTCACATCAGCAAAATTGGACGGTTGTGCTTTAGACCCATGGCTACTGCATCCTTGTTTGCCGTTCGCATGACCCTCGCTACCATCACAGCAGTTGCCAATCCCTTTCACATAACCCTCCCTTGACTGACATCCCTGGTGCAGTTAGCGAACAGTTGCAAGACAAACGTGCATTTCTAGATACAGTGGAGGAGAAACTCCACCTTGACCAGTCTGTTTCTAACCTTCATCCGAGAAGATTTCTGCTGAGTGAACAGCGAATATTTTGGCACTAAAGCGCATTGTTCTTGCCAGCAGGCATTGTCATTACGTATATTGTACTCAACTCCGTTTCTGTTCACGATAATGAGGACTTAGGTTTTGAAATCACAAACCTATGTTTAAATTGAGCATAGAGATGACTCGAATCAGACAATTTTAACCATTAGCGCGAGTCACACATGGTCTGTGCAAGTCAGCAGCACAGTAGGCACACAAGCTCGTACAATCTGGTAAAAGAGTGACACTATTTCTGGCAGTTAATAGTTCCCGATGAGTAATAGTAAGTGAAGGTCCAAGTCTCATAGAAACGAAAATTTTCAGAGTCGATGAATGTTAAACAAGCATTTATTCTCCTACTAGAGCCCAGTATCCTAGAGACACAAACTATGCCGAGGCTCCCAACAAATCGTCCACAAACATTTGCTGAATGAATATAATACTCGTCAAAATTGACAAACCAACGCTGTCCGAGTAAACAAGGGAACAGAAAATCCCACCAACTTGATCCCCCTCTACTTTAGCTTTGCGTAGGGTTTAATTTCGCCATCGCCTTGTCCAATGCGACACTGGAGCCAAGTCTTCCAAACTTACGAATCCATCGAAGAAAGTTTCGCGATTGGGAAACAGTGTAAACCGTGCGAGATTGAGGAGCAGTTGTCGCTAGAATTCGCCCAGACATCTGCGAAACTAGAATGTATAAAGTGGAAACCAAAAATTGAGCCTAGAATCACCACAATTCAATGACGTAGAGCAATATGTTTGTGACGAGGAGCAAGTCCATCGCTTTGAAACCACGTCGAGGAATAAACTAGACATGCAGAAAGTTCATAGGCATGCTTTTAAGATGAGTAGCGCAGAGTGCCACACATTATTTACATGCACACCTATGCACCTTTCAGTACTTCATATCCACATGCCTTTCCTTGATTTTATATCTCCTTGGCAATGGTTAGCCACGCTTTAAATGAAGTGATGGACATCGAAGGGGACGGGGGCTTGCGGAATGACCGACTTGGCATTACACCCACCTGAAACTTCGTTGAGTTACAACATTTAAGGTCCTACATTCAAAAATTGGGTTCAGATCCGCGATGGTTGCCCATAGCGCGGGAAGCCTTAACCTCATGTGTAAAGCCCGAAGGCTATTCTCGTCCTTATCGAGGGAGATGCTAACCTTCTCTCGGCTCAACGAACACAACACTCTTTAACGCTTGCACATAGTTATACTGCCCATCTCACTCTCCGCCTAAGATTATGGGTATATTACGGCACGTTAAGAGGCAAGGGTTGGCGGCGTGCCAATCTCGGCATGATAATGTACAGAGGCTAGTTTCCCCCGATACAACTAGCGCACTGTAGCAGTAAGGGTACCCATGGGGATCGCAGAACACAATTGAGGACGCATGATGGTTTCGCACAAGATTCTCGAAATGCACCTACGAAATTATAATCCCAAGATATTCTAACGACTTCACAGAAAGCAGGCTCAAGTACGCGATAGTGCACAAACATGGAATGAATAGCTCTTGACTAATCATTTCAGCGTCTTTGTAAAAAGGAAACCGAACATTTTCTGCAATGAACGACGACAAGACGCTGCACTCCAATGCCAAGGACACAACACCAGAAGTAAGTTCTACGTGGGAATTTTCATCACAAGAAGACTTGCGTGGATAGAATTCAAATAACTTCCTCAAAGCATAAGTTTGCTAACGCTTTACACATCATTATGGTCCTACCAGCTGACTATCAGAAATATTTGGGCCTAGACAGCAGCCCCCTTGCCCTTTTTCTTCTGAATTTTCTTTTGGTAGAATTCGAGCTCCTTGCCCTCCAAGATGTACCTGCGATAACCCCAAGAGTAGTGTCAGCGATTCCGACTCGTGCACATTGTTCGGATACCCCATGCGACTATTTTGGCTAAGGTCAGTAAAAAAATGTTAATTTTTTTAAAGTGCACTAATTGGAAAAAGCTTCAACATTGCACATAACATGCATACAAAATTGCTCGACGTAACAAAATGAGCAGCCCTCACAGTTCTGAAACTTTAGATACACTACAAATTAGAGCACCCATCTGACTATGATGAGACAGGACACATATTTTCGGAACGACTAAAGCTCTGGCGTTGTTTACGACATGCAAACCTAATCTTGTGTGGGAAACTGATAAGTCTACCTCTGGGAAGATCCACAATTTAGGGTTTCGGACGTGCTGATCATTACGTAAGGAAGCAAAAACCGTAGGTATAAAACGTGAAACTAAATAAGCCCAGAAGACAATATTAAAGAATCATATATAAACAATGTATCAAGAGCACAAACATGACTGCTGGAGGGTTTCTAGATGAACGTACCCGTCAACGCGACCACATTGACCAGGTCGAGAGGCAATGCAGGCGAGCAGCCTACCGCTGGCAAACTGATCCTCCAGATGAGCGTCGAGTTTTTGGCTCTCCACCCTCTTAGCTATCTTCCTCAGAACGTGCTTGCTCTTCTTCTCCTCCTCAGTAGCTTCAGCCTCCTAAATGAGGTAAGAATATATGAAAGTTAATCCAAAGTACCCTCTTCAAAATGAAAGGACAAGAAGTTCAGACGACCAAGAAATTCAGATTTCGTGACAATGCCCTGGACTTCACTTTTTGAATGCATCTGTTCGAGTCGAGATAACATATTATATCAAAGATACAAAAAAACCAGGCGGATATAATCTAGCAAACCTCAGCATCCTTCTTGGCAGCGGTTTTTTTCTTCTTGCCAATTTCGACGCCGTAGTGCTGGCTGTACCACGTTCGGAACGGGGCGGCATCAACCTGGATGATAGCATTCTTCACCAAAGTCTGGGTACGAACCAACTCATTGTTCGAGGCGTTGTACACCACATCCAAAACTCTGGTCTTACGGGTCACAGCCTCCGAGCCCCACGAAAAATTTCCGGTATCCAAACGAAGCGCCCTGAACTTGAAATTTCCACCACGCACACGGATACGCCTAACGGTCTTGTTGCTAGACAGTTTGGTCATAGCACCCTGTCTTCCCAACTCGTACCTACAACACACCATCCAACGCCATTAAAACCCTAAAAAACCAGAAATTACAAAATCCCCAACATAGTAGACACCACAATCATACGAAGCTCTCAAAACGACTACCCAGAGACCACTCAAATGACAGTATTCACGCGTAAACGCAAAGTAAAACCCAGATGAATACATACTTGCGCTTCTTGCGCCATGACTTCTTCTTGCCTCCAGTTGCCCGTCTCTTGTGAGTGGAATCACGAGAGATACCTGCACAGAGAGTGCCAATAACTCCGACTCATCAGAAAGAGGCACGGACTTCTCAGTCATCTAAAACAACAGGGAAAAATCTACGCAGTACGTTAAGGAGCCATGGCAGGAGGAGGAGCAGCGAGACTTACCCATGGTGAGGTCCGCAGCGATGCGATGCTTGAAGTAAAGTAGAAAGAGAGGCTTCGATGGTGCGGCCTCGGGCTTTAGGGTTTAGGGTCGCCTCTCCACCACGGCTTCCCACCCTCGGCACGGCTGAGGGTCCTCCGCAGGAACCTATAACTGCTCTCGCTTTTCCGCGGGCGAAGTGGAGGAATGGCTCACGGCCTTGGGTGTCTCTTGCACACGTTCTTCGATCCTAGTTGTTAATTTTAAGTAGCATAGGACACACTATTCCTCACGTCCTTTGATTATAGTACCTTCGTTATTCTTTTGATTGTTTCAATGTAATAATGGTGACGTGGCCACCCACTTTGCTAAACACATGAAAATTGTTGGCTCCTGTAATTCTAAAAATACTATTACTGTTATTTTTAGCTTTAAAAACATAATCCATTAATTAAAGGGGATGTTAAATAGACTCATGCTTTTATTAAATTAACCCACTCATCCCAACTATCATGAAAAAAAAAAAAAAAAAAAAAAAAAAAACCCATAGATTCATTTCTCCACTATTGGAATAAAAACAAACCACATTCATCATGACTATCATATTCTTTATCAAAGGTGGATCTATTTAATAAAAACATGGGTCTAATTAACATTCCCTTATATATATATATATATATACATATCTCTCTTACTTTATTATTTTATATTATTTTGTTAGTGTATTTTTTTATTACACAATAATAATTCTTCAACAAAATAAAACATGTTTAAACATATACAAATTTACATTATTAAAATTAATATGCTATAATATGATATATGATATAAATATATAAGTATATTAAACTAACTTATAAATATTTTTTTCTGTTAAGATCACTCCACTATTATTTTTTTAAATCTCATATGTTAAAGATATAATTTGACATTGTACATATTGGATAAGATATGACAACCATCATAGATAAATTTTATGATTTGATAGTTTGAAAGATTTATGATCTGGCCACAGTATTATATGTAGATGGAAGTAATCATATATATGTTTCTCTGTACAAAACAATTAGCATGAACTACATAAAATTATGGTCATTTAGTTTCAATCACATCTGCACAAGTATGATCCAACACATACAATATCGGCTGTTTGAATTTGAGAAGGTGAAGTTGTTTGTATGAAGTTTGTAATAATTAACAAAAGTTATTTACAATTGAAGCTTAAAGATAAATTTGTAAAAATGGTCAGTGCTTTAGTCACATGCATTTTGTAAATTTTATAAAAAAATGGTAAAAATGTATTGATCAAAAACATTTTATTGTAAGAATTATATATCTAAAAAAAAATTAATTTAATGAACATCTTATTTGAAAGTTTGGGATACATAGTTCAAAACATGGAATTTCCTTTATTTTTCAAGAAATTTTTTGAAGCTTATTTTAAGAGATTGAGACGAAAAAATGGTTGTTGTTGTTGTTGTTGTTGTTGTTTTTTTTTTTTTTTTTTTTTTTTTTTTTCTTTATGATAATTGCACATTTATGATCAAAACTGAAAACAAAGGTTTGTGTTTCTCTACTTAAATACTTTCTTATTATGATAAATGAACGAAACTTATTTTAATATAGGTAACCTAAATTATTTTGGAAGAATTTTTGAATTTGATAATACTTTATTATATTGTCTCGTCATTTGACAAATATGCAAAACATAAATTCAACCCACAATGTCCATTAATCAGAACATTAGTTCAATATTTGATTATATATATATGGATTCTTTTAAAACATAGTTTTTATGATATATCTAGATGAAACATTTTTTTTATTTTAAAATAGAAGTAATCATTTATATGTACATTTAGTAGAAATAAATAGAAGAAAGTAAACTAAACAATAAACAAATGCTTTTATAGGTTAAGAGGTTCCAATGCACTTCAGATAAAACATTTTGTGGTGTTGCAAATACTACATGTGAATTCCACATGGGTTAAGAACTTGAATGATGGTTTTCCAAAGGCATAAAATAAATAAATCTTTATATATATATATATATATATATATATATATTGATAGTATTAAATCTTTTCTTGCATATTCACATCTATGTTTATATAAATCTAATACCAACAATTCTTACAAGTCATTTCTATTTTATTTTACTAAATTCATTTTTTTGTTTTATTTCACTAAATCACTATTAGATTTCAAGTAGATTTTGGTTTTAGTTGCAACAAGTAGTGGCTAATTTTATTTTATACCATGGAACATTGCACAATAAGGAATAGAATATTAAGAGGAAACATTTGGTGTTGCAATTGCTATCATTAAAGGTGGATCAAATTCAAGTAAATTGCTGAGTAAGGGAAAAAAAAAAAGAAAAAAAAATGTATTGATTTCTTAGATTTTTTTGCCTACAAAATTATAGACCTTTAATCTTTACAAGGAACAGCCTAAAATAATGTAGACTACCTACCAATAAAAATGATGAAATAATCACTCCATTAAGTTTCTTATTTTGATAATTTTGGTTTTTGGTTTTTGGTTATTTTATTTTATTTTATTTTAAGAAGACGATTAAGTTAAAGATTGCATAGACCTATATATATATATATATATATATATATATATAAATATATACATATATAATTCTTCACTTACGTTTTTATGGTACTTTGTCGGGCTATCTTATTTTTTTAAATAATCTTCAATCTTTAAAAGAAATATTCAAAAAACATTATGTACCTGAAACTAATGTTTTATTATAAAATAAAGTATTTATATTATATATTGCATAAACTTTTGCAATCAATTTTAGTATTCATTAATAAATTTCTTAAATAAATAAAAGAATATATTAAAAAGTTTTGTAGGTTTCTTTTCTTTTACTTTTTCTTATAAAAAAATTTATATTTTTTAATGCTACATAAAAAATGATTAAAATCCTTTAATTGTATCATACAGGGACATTATCGAATATAGTTGTTTTACTTAAATTTTATTTTATTATTGTCATCAATCTATCGTTGATTTTTTTATTGTATGTATATATAATATATTTGAAGATTTAAAATATACATAAGCTATACAATTAGGATGTACTTGTGTCTAAGATTAAACAACAAGATGTAATTGCATGATGTAATGTAAATTTTTATTTTGCAAGATATGTTAAATCTGGAATGTTTATTATTAAATCAATAGAAAAAAATTAGGTCATAAAGTGCAATGTGATAGAACAAATATTTGTAGACTTTACTATTTACTTGTAACTCTATATTCCAAAACTTGCATAAACTTTGTTTTTTGTCACAAAAAGTATTATATTTAAGTATACATTTTGATACAATTTCTTCACATATGTGTTATTTGACTTATATATTTTATCCTCAAGTATAGTTTTTTTTTTTTTTCCATAATCACTTAAACAATAATCATCTTAAAACATGATTAAAACATGTGATTAAATTGCAATGGTTTAAGTATTTTATTTCTAAAAAGATGATTTCTTTTACCAAGATTACTCGATTCTTCAATCAAATTTATTGAATATTGTCCAAAGTTATGAAATACATTCAAGCAAGATTTGGATTTTTATTAAAATTTTATAAAACAAGCTATAATCTTTAACTATCTTACATAATCTACTAAAGCAAGATTAAAATCTTTTGTAAAATTAGTTTTTAAAAATTACTTTATGGTTGATTATATTTATATATTTGATATATCTTTTGTAATATTTATTTTATAAATTAATATATATATATTTTTTATTTATTTTATTTTAAGAAATGATATATATCAAAAAAGTATATTAACATCAGAATTATATTTATTAATAGAACTTTAAATATAAACAAAATATTTTTAACATATAAAAATAATTTTTTACTAAAAGACAATTTCCTGTATTTTAAATTTAATTATTCATATTTATAATTTCAAAAAATACATAGATTTGTTTTCTTTTTTAGTAAAGAAGTAGGAAACACACAATCATTTTGTAAAATAAAAAATTATTACATGATTTGAGCACGAAAAAAGAAAAGAAAAAGAAAAAGAAAGAAAAAAGAGTTTGAGATGTATAAAAATACAACATGACAAATTACAAGTTAATTTATTTCAAATTTATCAGTAAAAATGATTACATACGAAACATCTATCATGATTCTTATATATATATATATATATATATATGTGTGTGTGTGTGTGTGTGTGTATATATATGTATAATAATTGTAAAAATAATAAATACAGTTTTGTTATTAGAGATGATCACAGACATATTTTATTTTTTTAATAGGAATTTAACATTTTGTCAAGATAAAAGAGGTATCAACATTATATCATGTGACTTCATGAATAAACGAATGAAAGGCTGTAATGATGCACTAACATGACATTAATAACTTGTTTTGATCATATACTTAAGTTATCTAAGAGAAATATAATTGCATTGAGACTCAACCTCGATATAAATATACCCTTTTTTGTTTAAATAACAAAAATTAGTACCGTGTGAACAATGTCGAGCAATTTAAATTACAAAAAGAAAAAGAAAAATGTGGAGCGGCAAGAAGGATCTTTAAGAAATCTTAATCCGTTATACTAATTTTAAAAGAAGAAACTAGACATACAAGAAATGTGTATAAAAGGTGGTTTGGTGACGCCTCCTATAAATGGAGTGTAACGTGGACTCATGTTTAATAATACAAACGCGGACCCAACCCCAAAATTAGCAAGGTAGAAAAGCATCTCCCCATTTGGATGAACTACATCCACTTCCACAACCACACATCAGTCGCGAAGGCAAGACGGACGAATGAAATATAGATCCCCACAGCGCCTTCCTTCATTTCATACATTCATCCATTTATACATCCATTTCGTGCACATTAAGTCGGGGGGGGGGGGTGTGTGGTGATGCCTCGGAAATGGGAGAGGGAGGGATAGGGCCGAACAAACAAACGAACGAACGGAAAGGGACAGATAGAGAGAGAATCTGGGTGTGGGGATGAACGAAGTGTAGACGGAAAGGAAACGAGAAAAGTAAAAGGCTTTCCTTGGCCTTCTTCTCGCTTTCCCTTTTCCTTTGCCTTTTCCCTTGAGCCTTCCCTGTCTTTGGCATTGGCTTTGTCTTGTTGCATGGTCTTGCGTGGGCACAATTACACTACTTCTTCTACTACTAAGCTTGCTACTACCAGCACCAGCACCACCACCATAGCCAGCCAGCCAGCCGTCTTGCGTATTCTGCTGCTGCTGCTGGCTGCTGCTGGCTACCATCTTCTTCTTCTCTCTCTCTCAATCTCTCTTTCTCCTTCTCTTTCTCCTTCTCTTTCTGTCTGTTTCTCTTCTGATTCCTCCTGTTGCATCTTCTCCCTCATCCTGCTCGACGCCTGCTTGTGTTTCTCATCCGTCACCTTGTCGGTTCTTCTTCTTCTTCCTCTTCTTCTGCTGCTTCTATTTTCGACACTGGGAGATATAATTCCGCTAGTCTTGGGTTGGAAAGCGATTGTCGTGCAGGCTCTGCGGGCTGCCCTTGGTGGTACCTGTGTTTGAGAGAGAGAGAGAGAGCAGCAGCACCGAAAAGTCTCTGCGGTGGAGGAGTGGCTGAGTTATATTGTGACGTGGGTAGGGTGTGTGTGATAGAGGGGGTGACGGGGGAGAAGTACAATTGGACAACGAATTTGCGAGTGGTTCTCAGGTTCGGGGTTTTTTTTTTTTTTTTTTTTTTTTTTTTCGGTTTTTTTGTTTCGTTTCGTTTGTGGGGGCTGGGTTGAGGTGGATGTGTGAGTCGGAGCGTGTATGGTTGTTTGTATGTGCGTGCGTATGTTGCGGTTGTTGATCTTTGTGTAGTGGGAAGCGTTTGTGAGGTCCAATTTTACTCGTTCGGTTGCAATTTGGTGGGTGGTGTGTGTTTGTTGGGTTCATGCGTGCCTGAAATTCGATCTTCATGTTCGTCTTGGATGCGTTGGGTTGTTAAGCTTTCCGATGGCTGTTGGGAGCAGGAATTGGGCTTCGCCTCTATGGACGTCTGTTGTCCATGGTTGTGTCGTGATGGGTAGTCATCTGTCATCCGGGGAGCGTGGTTGTTTTGGTTATCGTGAAGGTCCTCATCGCTTACCCGTGGGACCTTGCTTACGTGGCCGTGACGCATAGAATTGCGTCTCGGGCTTCGCATTGACTCGAACATCGGTAGATTGTCAGCGTGAATTATGTTTGAACACTCTTCGATTGCGTCAATTCGACGCCGAGCGAGCAGTTCGTGGGCTATGCATATTCTTTATGAAGTGTCAGAAACCTTTTTACATGCCATACGTGCGTCGCACTCCTAGTGTCTAATCTCCTCTTGGGTGCGCTCTTGATTTATCTGCCACTTCATTTACCTTTTGAACCATATGCGCAAATTTGCACTGTATGGACATCGTACAATCCAGGATGGATTTCTTCCGTGTAATCCGCCTATGGCTTGTTTGACGTTTGGGTATTGCGTGTTTACCGTCTATTTTTTATGTGTGGATAGTGTTTGGATTGTGGTGGAGACGAATCTCGACGTTCTCTCCGATAAATCACGTTTCTCTGTGCCAATGGATATCTCTTTGACCTTCTTTCGACTCTTAGAAGGCTTCGGTTGCGAGTTCTCGAATATAATCACGATGTAGGTATAGTCGTGGTGGCATCGTTTATAATGTATCAGATGCGCTCTTTAGTTTCTTTGATGATGGTTTTTTCCATGGTTCGACAGCAGTTTAGTCTATATCGCGGCGATGGCTGCAGTGTGACGTCTCGTTATTGCCTTTTGGTGTTGACATTGTGAAATAGCTGTCAATCTGAAATGCGTGTCCATTCTACTCGGAATTGGATTGGAGGTAAGGGACTGACGGTAGGGAATGGCCTTGTATTTTGGTTCTGCATAATGTGATTGGTGAATTGATATGTACCCACTGAAGTTGTCTCTGAGAATGCCTTTTCTTCGTGATGCCATTACCAGCCGGTGACAGCGAGATGGGATTCCGATCGTGAGAACTGTGGGGTGCTTGTGTTATAATAATAAGCACATACAGGAGAGAAGGAGAGGCAACATCATGGGCAGGTTGTACTTGATACAATTGGATGGGCGCATCTATAGCTGTCGGAATTGCCGCAGCCACTTAGCTCAGTGCGATGAGCTGGTCTCGAAGGTGTGGGCCTCAATCTCACGCTGTTCTGTCTATCCTATTTGTTAAGTCACCTGCCGTTGGTATTTTGGAATCCTAGCATCTACCAGCCTTTTCCTGTGTACTGCAAATCTGAATGCTCCATTATGTCGCAACTTATCAGGAACCTATTTTCCCAATGCCTTAATGTTCCGTGCGCTCTTTTTTGCAGTCGTTTCACTGCCGACACGGAAAGGCCTACCTGTTCAATACTGTGTAACTGCCCTATTCCTTCTCAATGCTCGTCCTGATAGTGTTGCATACGTTATTCAATAATGTAGTTAATGGGATCATCTACTGAATTTCTCTTTCAGAAATTTAGGAAACGCCATTTTGCGTGTGACACTGGTGCTTTTGGAATACATATCCAAGACTTTTTATAGAAATAAATCAGATGGGGAGGAGCTTTGACTCAAAAAAACTTCTTCTGGTCTGAGTATCTCGTTTTGAATTACAGGGTGAACGTCTCTGTTGGGCCACTAGAGGATCGAATGATGACCACCGGTAAACATACGGTGGCTGATATCTTCTGCAACAGTTGCCAGCAAGTCGTGGGGTGGAAATATGTAATGCTTCTTAAGCCATACTCCACCGCTCGTTCAGCAATTGATGCAATTTCAGTGCAGTCCTAGATGTTCACACTTCCGGCTGTATTTGAACATGTTGAGAAAGGATGAAAATATATTGCACCGGTGTTTTCTATTTGTAGTCCTCTTGTGATTGTATCCAGATTGGAGCGGGAATTTATTGACAAATTTGGGGGTGCATTGCATGACATATTTGTCAGTGGGTAATTACAGGATGGTATTGTTTACGTGGGCTTGGCTGATTTTTTTGCGGAATGATGTCTTATCTTTTGTAAGGATGTCTGTCTTAAAATGAAGGAAACTTAGAGTTTTATCCTTTTTGATGATTCGACGGACTAGATTCGATTGTCTTTTGGTGTTTTAAGAGGGATGTTTTCTTTCTTTCATTCTTCCTTGAAAATGAAGGGTTTAACGTGGATTTATTTCCTTGTGAACAGGAAGTGGCTTTTGAGAAGAGCCAGAAATACAAAGAGGGCAAGTTTATTCTTGAGCGGTATGCCCTGCTCCCGTAGTTAGAATACCAAGTCACGCATATTTGCTCTGCCCCGTGAACCTGTCACCTCTCGTGATACTCCATGTAGATATATGATTATCTCTTGGAGCATTTTGGACTCTGCTTTTGAATCAAGCTGAACACACTCACTGTTAGCCACATCCACTGAGGAGTACTATCGGAAGTTCTTTATGAAGAATGAGTGGTTTTTGTGGTGAGTCTTGGTTGGAGCAGCTGTCAATCGTTCTCTTTACTGAAACAGAGCCAAGATGGTCGATGGCGACGGCAGCGATTCATTTCCAATCAGCGATGGAGATGATGAATAACCCATCACTTTGTCTGCCTCCACGGTCCACGGCGTTAGTATGGCGCGTCCCTTCCAAGGTGCTGGTTGGTCCCATTCTGCAACCCCAAAACCCAGCACTGGCCCCGCTTCAGCCGCATCGATTTCGGTTTTATGGTTTTTTTCTTTTTTTATTTATTTTTATTTTTACTTTATTTGTAAAGGCCAATAATCCATTTCGTAGGCACGACCTAGCGCAAACCGGGGGAAAAGAAAAAGAAAAAGAAAACTGCTGAATTGATTTGGATAAAATTCTTGTGGCGTACTTGTACAAACTTACAATGGCCAATGTGCTGCCGGAGCAGTCAGCACTAACATTGATGTACATACTCTTTTTAAGTTCCTCCACGTGCAATTTTTTTACTTCTACTTTTTAAAATATTTGCATTACTACCACTACTCTCCAATACGCTTCTCATGTAGTGTCTGTTCGTTTCTGTACTTGTCCATTTCTTCTTCTTTTTCTTCTCCTCCACCACAATAATGCTCGTGTATTGATCACTGTTTCAATGAACATCGCTTTGCTTTGCCTTCCCGTCAGTTTTTGTTTTTGCTTTTTTGCTGCACATAAGAGTGGAAGTCGAGAGGGCTGAAACAATGGTGGATTTCAACCTGCATGATTTGACAGTGTGAGCTAAGTTTCAACCCTTCCCATGGGTTCTGTCACATCAGTCCAGGTTGACATTGATGTTTTCCGACTGTAGTAAGATGGGTTCCTTAGGGTATGAAGTCTAGTTGTGTGCTGCCTTGTTGTGTCAGTAAAAATGTGGACACTTGTGCAACCCTGCTCCAATGAAGTTTCTTGTGTTGATTCTACAGCCTGGGATAGACTGGATCCAGCAAAACTCCTCCCTCTTTCTCTGCCTCTATCAACTCCCTGCTCACCATTCACACCCCCTCCACCGTAGCAGCTTGTTTGCTTGCTTGAGTGCTTCATCTATTTCTTTTTGTTTTAATCCTTGAAGTCTGTAAATTGCAATATTAGGTGGTTCTTGTGACTGAGGTGTTCATTTCCACCTGTCGTGTTTTTCACCGAAAGCTGCTGATGCTACTGCTGTGATCAAAGAATGCACAGAATGAAAGCAACACATGGGGAGAAAACAACCAAAAATAAAGGAAAGACTTCTTCTTCTTCTTCATGACACAGAAAGGGCTTTGAAAGTGTGTGCAGTGAGTGGTGTGGACTCTGATGAGCATTGTGCTTGAACAGCCTCATCAACCCTTTGTGCAGGACTGCACTTGGAAAGAAGAGAAAAGAACATCAAAACAAGAATAATATTATAAAATACAATAAAATAGAAGCATGAAGAAACAGAACCTCCTCTTGCTTTACTGAAGACCAATGCCTTCTTCTTCTGCCACAATGTGGATATTCTTTACAAACTAACTTTTTATTAATGAAGCAAGAAAATGATGTTGTTCTTGTTGAAGCAATAGTTGACAGCCTCAAAGATCACCTCCCTCCTTTAAGGTAGCCAACCCATTGTCAACCACCCCCCATTTCCAACCTACAGGATAGAAAATTTCCGTTAGTTTGGCAACCTATTGTCAACCATGTGCTGGGATTTAAACATTTATATAAATTCCATTTTTGTCTTTTAATTATATAGAAACACTTGAAATCCTCCTTATTTCTATTTCTATATATGGGTGTATTTTTATTTTATTTTTACACTTATTGCAAATATGCTCAAATACTTAAATTATTAAAAATGGGTTGTCTATCTTAATGCCAACCATTTTAGATATACCCCATGACCATGGCCGTGCCAATGTATAAAGGAGGTCGACCTCCCCGTGTCTTCCTTCTTCTATTCCCTTCTACTTTGTTTCCATGCTCTTTCTATTTTGGTGAGGAAGAGCAACACATGGATGTTGTGGGAGCTAGTGGGCACAATGTGGACAACAAAAAAACAAATGAGTGAATGGTGGGCAACAAATTTGTGAAATTTTCACTAGTCAACACATAAGGCCAAATTGGTGTACCAAATTGAGAATTTTTGCAAAATACTAAAAATAGAATAAAATAAAAGAATTATGCATTTGATGTGGAGCACTCAAAGGGTCATAGTCCTCACTTACCTTGGAGATGGCATGGCAAGAAATAATTTCATTTTCCACAATGTCAAGATGTTGTTTTAAATGTGAGTGATTAAACATGCAATTGTTGCTCTATGCTTTTGAATGAAGATTAAAAGGAAAGAAAGAAAAGAACAAAGCTTTTTCTTGATTATCTATTGGAAACTTTATTTGGTCTTAGGTTGTGCATCCATCCCTTTTTTTTAACCCATACTTGTTATACCCTACTTGGGTGTATGGCAACGCCTTGTATGAAATGCCTATCATGTGGTACATATTTTAATTTTGGATCTTTAGTTTTTTTCGTAGATTTTAATTAAAGATAATACAAGTAGATAATATATAATCTATGCTATTGTCTAATTATTATTATTATTATTATTATTTTATTTTGGTTAAAAAAAGAAAAAGAAAAAGTATATAAAATTGTATCATTGTCTTAAAAATGTAATTTTAAAAATCAGATACTTAAGTAAAAAAATGAAACCATAAATTGTGAATTTACCATACATTACAACACATAATGACAACATTTGCTTCTAATTGGAAAATGACGAATCAGGTTCATGCATATCATTTTCTACTTAAAAGCAAGGATGTACATTCAACATTGCATATGTGTACATGTGCCTAGATACATCCACTTTGTTTTGTACTAATTGTATGTCATCAAAGAAAATATGCGTGCAAAATACAAATGAAAGATATCACATGGTTTGATATCTAAAGTTCAAAAGCGTTGCAAAAGAATATACATGCATAATAAAATATTGATTTGCACATTCTAAAAAGTTGAAACAAAACAAAATAAAACTGGGCATGTGATTCTACATGCATTTATATGGTCCATTTAATCCTGTATACACATGGAATAAAAATGGGTCCATGTAAGCTTCTAAGATAGCGAATTGGAAACCCTAAATCACAATCAAGCTTTGCAGGACTTTTGGACCTTCATACACACCCAAGCTTGCATAGCTGCCATTGCTGACCCAAGAGGCAACTATGTCTCTTTCACATGAAAAAAAACAGAAGGGAAGTAAACTTATATTTTTAAAGCAGGAAATGCAAAAAAAGAAACAAAAAAAGAAACAAAAAAAGAAAAATAGGACATATGTGGGCCATGATGTGTATTTGCATGTTCCCAAAAAGTTACAAAGTAGTGGATTTGGCCTCTCTTTTTCATTATGATATATGAGTCTCTTCAGAGCTTATCAATTGCAATTAAAGGATAGGCTATGGTCATAACTACACATCATCCCAAAGAATTTAGACTTTACAGCTGAGATTAGGTATTTTTCTTTTCTACTTTGATCAAAAACAAAATTTAGATTTTGATATTAACATTGAAAAGTAATTGTGAAGGCCAATTGAATAAAACTGTTTGTTAATGTATTTTTTACATGTGAGAAATTCATATAATAGAAGCTACTAAAGATACTAGGTTTAATGTTGATATCAATCAAATTTATCTGTTCAATAGATACTGATAATGATGTTGAGAATTATTTAATCTTGATTGTATAAGAGAGGAAATATTTCTTAACATGTTTTTGATTTAAATGCTATTTATCAAGTTCATTTAAAAAAATATATATCATTCAAAAATAGTAGATTGCAATGAATTAAACACAAAACAACATATACAAGGTAGATAGTTTGAATTCTAGCTATAAAATATCAACTATGCATAATGGATCTTACTCTTGGGTTTACATTTTTTTTTTTTTTTTTTTTTCTTTCTGCAATGAATAAATAAATAAATAAATATCTTATATTTTTCTCCATCACTCTTGTCACATGTCAATAGAGAGCATCAAACAAGAAATATAGAGTGAAATAAAAAAGTTCAAAGTTTCTAAAAAATGACAATTAGACTAAAAGCTGATTTTTTTTCTTTAATAACTGCAACAATTGCAAAATAGAAATGTGCATTAAAATTTGATTATCATCACACACAATCCTCGAAGCCACAAAAAAGAACTTTCCACGATTCAATTCCAACAAAATAAACATCTACACCTTTTTATTCATGGCAACCCCAAACTTCCAAAAAATGAGAGAATTGCTCACAGAAACTACAAAACAAAAAAAACAAAAAAAAAAAAATAATAATAAAAAGGAAAAAAAGAACAACTTCCAAGATTTGCAATTTGAATCTCAACTTTAAAATACAAACCATGCAAAATAAACCTTACACAAAGTTTATTTGTAAAAAAATAAATAAAACAGAACAAAACCAAAAAAAATCTTTAAGTTAAGCCAAACCAAACTAGACTTTTTCTTGAACCCCAACATCCCTCCATGAAAAACAAATGGAATGATGCTGGAGCAAGGCCCAAAATTTTTGTTGTGAAACAGTGCACATCCATGCATGCAAGCACCATACACGCCGGGCATGGAAAGCAGGAGATTCTAGCATCCCTGTAACAAAAGAGGAGAATGAGGAGGAAGAGGAGGGAATTGTTGTAGTAACGCAAAGCAAAGCAAGACCTGGTTATGTTGCATTTGTGAGTGAGTGAGGGCATCAACCCAGCCCAGCTCTCCATATCAAACCCAGCTCCTCTTGATTTCGGCACCCAGTTGCCGGATTTGCATCGCCGAATGCATGCATGTTGTTGTTGGTGGAGGTGGTGCAGACAGATCCGGAGCAGGTCCAGGCTCATGTGAAACTCCCACGTCTCTCTCCTCCGTGAGATCGACGTTCACACTCTTGAAAAGTCTGCGGGATGGCCATGCGTGCTTGCCTAAGGAATCCACGCTCAGGTTCCCTCCTGGATTCAAGTGCTCTACTCGTTCCTAGCTCCCCCTGCTGAAAAATTCCTCATCAGAATTGAGTCTTCGGTGTGGTGAATTCGCATAGATTGCCACAGCACACATCGAAACAGTCATAACACTGGGGGTTCGAACCATGCAAGTTTACACTTACACCTCTTTCTTTGCGCCGCAAAGTGCATATATATATATATATATAGATACATATTTTCCTTTAACGTTGCTTCGACGATTCCCTTTCTCGCTCTGGATGACCGTTTCCCACTGTGTGTCGAATGTGGTCTGCGATGCGGTGAGGGGCTTAGTCTTTGGCTGGTATTGCATCCCAGAGCTCTCTCTAGTTGTGAGTCCTGCTTACTCCAATTTGGTTCTGGTCGCCCGACTGAAGACTCTACTCTCGTAGCTGCATTGTTACAAAATCCAGCAGAAGGTGACGGTCGAAATTAGATCCTGGATTTATTCATGTTTTTGTTGGAGATAAGAGCACCTAGGGTTTCAATACATAGTCGATACCAGTCTGATACTCTGGATATACAAGGATGAGCTTGATACCCGCCAATTTTCATCATGGACGGAGTATACATTAGTCACTATCTAAAGGTGAAGTGTAGTTCGAACAGATTTTAGAATAAAAGGTTGAGTTGAACTGATCGAACAACTCTTGTTCGAAATGTATGCATTGAACTCTACAATGTAAATAAAATCACTCTCTTGGTTATGTAAATCTTACAATTTTGGTGGAGCAAACGTGACGTAGGAATGAATGCTTCAGAATATTTTTTTCAAGTATCAAAGTAATCTCAGTTGATCTCTTTCGTCTTGACGAATAGAGGGAGAAAGCTGTCGATGCATTCACAGGCAAACAATCCATCGGTTCTGATATGATCCCCTCACAACCCTTCTCGGTTACAGAAACTCCCCTGCCCACAGATTTGAGTCACAAGAATTGTCGATGAGAGACAATGCAAGTTGACGCAGACAAGAGAGCACCTACACGTAGTTTGGTTTATGACGATGTTGGCTGGTATCCTCCAAAACAACACAAACCAGTTTGTAGAACGTCGTCATGAACGTGGTCCAGGTTCAGCTACGAACAAAGCAGGTGTAAATAACACTTACCATACTTCGACAAAGCCATTTGATAGATTTTTGCCAAAATGAAGCTTCCCACTTTACGCAGCGGAGAGCCATTGTTCCACCACATTTATCGAGACGAAGAACCGAACTCCACTGCATAAAGAAAACACCCACAGGAGAATCACAGGAACAGGAAATCTAACGAGCAAGACCGACTTCGCAGCAAAATCACGACACTATGATCAAGTTGAAAGGATCGAAGCAATCAAGATGTGCATTCCAGATGTGGATGAGTTGCACCTGGGGTATCAGAGAGTTGCTGTTTTCTGTATGAATGTGTTCGGTGCATGAGCTCCGACATTGCAAGTCCAGAGATCAGATCCAAGTTTTGTTTTCCTGTTTCCAGCACGTCTTTGTGGGTTTCCACACTTTGTAAGGATCATAGCTGGCGGCGGAAGTAGTAGAGGGAGCTCTCATTTGAAATGTAAGTGAGCGGCTGCTCTTGATCTCATCAACCTCAAAAGGACGCCTCAAAGCATCTTAAAAAATGATGAACTATTTGTGCATGGTAAATTTATATCCATCTATCTATCTATATAGAATACAAAATGAACATGAACCTTTTTTAATGGGGTTTTAGTGCATGACAGTGAGCACCCACATAATAGACAGTGTCTCAAGTTCTGAACATCCATGAACTTTCCACAATCCCACGAATCTGTGCAGTATCCACAGCTTCGATAGGTGCAGAATCCTTATTCTAGAGTGAGAATATTAACGAAAACCCTCAAAAGAATTTGCTAATATACAGCTCTAGTCAGCGAATGGAATACTATTTGTTGTTCGGGAAGTGTAGTCTGTTGATCACACCACTGCAACACCCCTCCTGGCCAGAGCGGCACCCGAGGGGGAAGCAGGTTCCTCCATTTGCTGCGCCACTCGCACCACCTCCAGCACATGGTCCACGATGACGCCGTCGATGCCCCACTCTCGCTGCTTGAGCACTGCCTCTCCAAGGTTACTGCAACAGAAAAATTAATACAATAAATATGTAAACAGAACCAGGACGCATCACGTTAATCCTCCTCCTCACCGGACCAAGCATTACATGGCCATCTCTGCACCCTTTGGATCCAAACGGGAGCATTGTTCATGAGGAATTTGTAGTGTCCAACATTTGGTTCCTTTCGCACTATTCAATACGATATAATGAATCAGAGATACATTGGATGTCATTCCAAAGCGTCATGTAAGAACAAATCATGAGATTAATTCTTCATTCAAAAGCTACCACCAGTAAAAAAAACAAAAAAAACAAAAAAAAAAACAAAAAAACAAAAAACAAAAAACAAAAAAAACAAAACATAACACAACACAACACACAAAATACAAAACACAAAACAAAACGAAACAAAACAAAAATTAGACTTACTTCAATTCGCCATATGTGAAGAAGTAAAGTCCTGCAGCTTTCACAAGCGCCACCGACGCCGGCCGGTGCAGCACAGCCTTGACCTCACTCACAATCCCTTGCAGATTTCCCTCGCGGCATATTTCAATGGCTGCTTCGATTGAGTTTTTTCTGGGATCTTGATAGGTGTAGGTACCACCGTCAGTTAGAAAAAACACCGGGTAGAGGGTCTTCTTTCGGACTATTTGGACAGCGTCAGGGTGGAAGCTGGAGAAGTAGATCACTCTGCCATTTGCGTACTGGCGCACATCATCCAGGACGGCATCGATCACCCGGTGGAGCTCGGCATCGGCTGTTATGCCATAGTCGTCGAATTTGAGCTCGATGTTGAATCCCACGGTGGGTTCCACTTGGGTAAATGCTTCCTCGAGCGTGCATAAGTGGTCCTCTATGTCGGCGGTCCAAACGTGGGTCGAACCGTCGGAAGCTCTGGAATAGAGGAGTTGGCCCATGGTGAAATCCTTTTGAGGTCCAATGGCGCGGAATTCTGTAAGCGTAAGATCGCTAATGTGGCTTGAGGTGTTTCCTTCGGTTATGATCTCGTCGTCGTGGAAGATGATAGGGACGCCGTCCTTAGTTACCTGGACGTCGAACTCGACGAACTGAGCGCCATTTCGGGCGGCCAAGTTGAATGATGTGATGGTGTTCTCTCGAACTGAGGGTCGAGACTCGGGGATGACACCATGAGGAAAGGTTCTATTCAGGCCACAACCGCGGTGACCGACCACCACCAGCATTGAGTTGGCTCCATTTGTCCTATCGTCAGATTCAACGGGACCAATGACCTCAGAGGCGTTGAAGGCAGTTTCCAGTGCCGAGCGCTGGCTATGGCGATCCTGGACAGGCAATGCAACCTCCGACACTGCAGCGAGAAATCAAAACATGTGTCAGAAATGTAAGTTATGCTCAACCCATGCGGCAAAAAACCCTCAGTCCACCCTTTCAATAATATTTCGGCAATGTAGGGGACTGGAGCAAGCTAAGTCGATGTCTCTCCTATACTACACACAAACAGCGTCATCGCAGCAATGAAACATTAACTAGCTCTGAAGCTCTTGAACCCAAACTCACCACCTTCACAGGCAAACATCGCAATCGAGCACGCCAACCTCACCATCCCGCTTCGATTCTGAAGCTTCTCCCCTCACCGCAACACTCGCACTTCCTCCTCCACACACACACACACAAAACAAACAAACAAACAAAACAAAACAAAACAAAACAAAAAAAAAAAAAAAAAAAAAAAAAAAAAACTTCTTGACTCAGCAACAGAAACACGCTAATCCACAACTCCACGACCACAACGTCAATGATCCCGGGTTGATCATCAACATCGCACTGATGATCAGAAAAACCAACTCTACCAACCCGTCTGTAAAATTCAACGGGGGGGTGGGGGTGTACAGAACTGAAAGATCGATGAACTCCGGCGATCGGACACGGCGATCAAGCAATGCAAATGAGAAAAGCCTGTTGAGAGATTTGTAGCCAGGCCCAGCTTGTGATCCAAGCGTGTCCTGGTTCCATCGCAGCTGCTGCAATGCTTTCCCCACGAGGTAATCCAAACGGCAGCTGCACTCACCGCATCACGGAATCTCCACCCATTTAGACTCCGAGCTTCCACCGAATCTTCCCCCTCAAGTTCAGGCCTTGGGTGGCGCGGGGCCGTTACGACGCTACACCGACTTCCACAATCGTCCGTGTGAACGCGAACTAGTTAAAAGTTTTCCATTTTATTCATCCATATAACCTTATTCATCCTCATTCGCCAACGTGGCATTTTGTCGCCTTTTGCTTTTGTCTATTACTGTCTCATCGCGATCTGACGTGTCGGTGTAGCTGATTACGTGGAGCCAGCAGTTGGGAGTGACCATGCAAGCCATGTTGGATGTAATTCCGGGGTTTGGATAGATGAATTAGGGCTACTCCACCCTTGGAGATAAGGGTGTTTTTTTTTCATGTTTTGTGAATGGGACCGTTCTTTAATTTTTATTTTATTTTATTTCATTTCATTGAGGGTGCTGTATTTTCCAATTAGAGGTTAGATGGGTGCGCATTGCATGTTGTTAAAATGTTGTCTGTGTGGGAGAATAAAGAAACAATTTTACAGTTCTCCATGCTTGGAACACCTGTAGAGGGGTGATTATTAATTTCAGAAAAACCAATTCACCACCTTGGCATCATTATTATTATTATTATTATCAAACTTTGATCAAGCAAAACCAACATCACGCACCATTTCTTCTCACAATAATGTTGATAATAAAAAAAATAATAATAAAGACAAGACCCAAATCCAAGAAATTATAAAACTTCATCCTGTGGGATGTTTTTCATGCTCCACATTCTAGTATTATTGTTCAACAAGTAAACATGGATTTAGGACTTTCCTTGTGTGGAATGGGTCATTCATTTAGCAAAGAGTGAGGTTGAGCACCCCCCTTCGCAAAATAAATATTGTACTAGTAGAGAAATGAACTATTGGGTATGGTACATCATGAAGAGGGAGGCCATGCTTCTTTGGTGATCCCTGGCATTAAGGCCACTTTTTGGTAGTATTCACAAGGAGAGCATGCTTCTCCTTGTGAATATGTTTAAAATCCCAAGCCACTCTTTGGATCACACTATTAGGGCTCTTTGCTACCTAAGCGCATTCTCATACATTGCTTGTGCTTGAAGCTATATACATTTCTTCTAATTGTCTTCTTTATCCTTCTTTTCCTTTGTGCTTTCTTATGTAAGAAGTTTGTTAGATTTGATGTTAGGGGTACTACTCAAAGCTATGGTGAGATGGAATAAGGTGAAAATATGGAGATTATTATAAGAGCCATAAGTTGAAACAAGTTTAGGTGGAATCTTACTTGGTTAGAATGGAGGGTTGTTTTTGCCTCAACAATGATCTATTTTGAAATATGGACTTTGCTTCTAGTTTTTTTTGTAAAATTATTTATAATATACTTATCTACTTAATCTACTTATCTACTTAATCATACATCATTTTTGTGATTGATTATATTTGTTTGATATTATTTCCAAAGGATAACCAATTTATTCTAGATCTTTCATTCTTAACAACAAGATTAATTTCCTTGACCTCTAATTAATTTCTTTTAAATAAAACTGATTCAGAATAAGTAATTTGAAAAATAAAAATAAAAAATCTAATTGTAATAAACATTTCATCAACTATAAAATAAAATACCATTTTATGTCATTATTTTTCCCATGAAAATTTCAACTTTGTTCACTTTACTGTGAAAATTAATGCTATCAGTATTTTGTGGTCATTTGGAGGTCCAAATCTTCAATAAGATGATAATAGTAAGCATTTTTAATTTTACAATTTATGATTAATTTTTTTGGATCATATGAAGAGTGTTTTCATTCATGATTAGAGTTGAAGTGAGAAACACCTCATGGAGTTTGAGTCATGGAAACAAGGTTTGAGTTTGATGCTCAATGCTGTACAATAAGACTAAAATAACTGATAACTGTAATAGTTACAACTTCTGAAACAGATGATAAACAAAGAAATAAATATAATAAACTTGAAAATATTTTGATTATGTCTCATGGCATAAATTGTTCATAGGAATAAAAGGAAACCAAAGTGCATGACTATTTAAGTATATTTCAAACATGAATATAGAGTAGTATATCAAATTACAAATTTAATAACAAATAAAGATAACTGCTGGGAGTTAAAAAGGCATGTGTGCATAGCATACAGCTATCAAATTCCCAGAATCAGATTCTATTGGAAAGAAATGGTATATCTATATCTATATATATATATATATATATATATGTTTTTATTACACGAAATTCGAGATGGTGAACTAAATTAGTCCTTGTAAAAATACAAAAATAGATAAATGGCAAAAGCATCCAGAAGTTATATTCACATGAAATAACAAAACGCATGTGATTTTCTTTTGTGTTCAATCAATCCACGTTTTCTCACGTTTAAACAATGTTGGAACAAAGACAGGTCTCAACTTTGGCAGATAATCATATCTTCTAATAAATGAGACACAAAATTGTTACTCCAGATCTCCTCTTTTCATGTGGAATACAAGTGCATGATTGAACTGATCAAAAGCAACGATGTCACCGCTTTCATCACCGACTATCACTTCTGCCAGAGAATTCATTTTAAAAGCAGCACAATGCTAGATTGTTACTTCTAAAATGATCAAGCTACGGTACTGAAGGCTGCTGGTGGCACCCTAACCTCAAGACAATACAGCATCTACAAAAGTTGTGAACACGATATACCGCGTCACTGTTGACATTGGTGTGGGCATTCCTAGTTCTGATCGAACTCAAGTGACGAACCCACTCCAATCATCTTCACTCCACTAGTAAATCGAAGAAAAATCAAGCTGGTACAGACCACGGCCTATTACAACAGTACGTCAAAGTCAATTGAGACGCTGAGATGCCCCAGCAAGTTGGAATCAACGACTAAAATGCCGCCTCTGTTCTATGTCATATAACTATGGTTGTTGAGAAGGTTCCAGTGAGCCAATTCCATTACTGCTTTCTTTGCTCCGTCATCTACACATGCAAGCGTAAAGAAGAAAAGCTTTCAACTTCAAATCTCCTGTCGGGCATTGATTAGCCAATCAGAATCACAAGTGTATGCGGCTGCCGATACCCAGCCCATTGCAGGTCAATATTAAGCTTTTAAAACGCTTGAGGTAATCCTGCAATTACCACAAGACATAACCCAATTGTCACTTTTATTGATTTGACCTATAATGATCATCTAAGAAAGGATCTAAGAAGAGCAACACAAGTTCTGAGTACTTAAGTCTCAGACCAACCAGGTCTGCCTAACGGTATTAGACCTGCGGCTCTTTATAAAATCTAATCCAACAGCCCGCATTACCAAAAACCTACACCCAGCGTGATCAACATAGTGAGAGAGCAACTCCTGGTAACATAATCACTCACAGTGTAGTTGTAATCCTGAAGGCCGTAGTTGCCATGCATATCGTACTCGTGCCGCATACATGGGTTGCTTAAGACTGTTCTCCACAAACCAAAACGACATGAAACTGTTGATTAGGTTTTGGTTTTATCAAGTGCAATGGCCTACGTACATTGGTTTTCTGACAATAATCCAGTGATACCAGGACCTTACATTGCAATAGAGATTTCTATATAGTGTCCAGTACACCTAGCACATAGAACTTAATTCTCGAAAGCATCAAAGATATGCGGCTTCAGACGCTAAATTCAAGTTTTATGAGGAGTTTACTTGGCATTTTTTTCTTCATAACCTACTACAAGTGATTTGAAGCTTTAGCAAAGCACTGCAACTCGAAAGACCATCACATGAAAAAGCCCAAAAAGCCTAACCTCGGTATGCTTCATTGATCTCCTGAAACTTAAGAGTCGCCGCAGTTGCACCATTGTGCTTATCGGGGTGCCATTTCTGCAAGGTATAAGAGTCAAGGTGAGAAATACACGGTGCTTATAACGATCAGATACATAACAAATCATTTCATAAAATCACCAGAAAAGTGTTGTTTGATACAACCCCTCACTCAGTACGCAGCAAATGTTCATCTTCTCTACGTGTATATAAGCAGATACCCGTGATGAATCAAACAAGCGATCAGATATTGCGATAAAAGTATGCAGTATCCAACACAGGACATCCGAAACTCCTTAGACAAATACAGCATGCATCAGTGTTCATTCACAAACCAGAGCGAGGCGCAGATAGCTAGTACGAATTGAATCAATCGACGCATCATAATCCACGCCAAGCACTTTGTAATGATCCTGAACCAACATCAGATACAGAACATTAAAGACGTGAATTCACAAATGAAAAAAATTCAGAGGTACGCCGGAATTTAAAGATCCCAAAACTCCATGAGGTGATTCACATTTGCAAGAATATAATATGAGAGGGATTAGTTTTCAGAGGGATCCCAATAAATGCAGGTTTTGACGGTACAGCAGATCACCACATGGGTAAGCTGATAGCCCAAACTTGAAGCTTGCAAGCAGTTCATGTCTAATATGACGCTCTTCGCTAACAAAAGGTGAGTCCCACAATCTACAGCAACAATCTCACCCCTAAACATATTTAAACGTATTCAGATGCGACCAGGTGAGCTCTGTGAGTAAAGGTAATTTCAGCGGTGGGCTCAAAGAGCACCAAACTACGAGAGAAACGTCAAGAATGCGACCAATTTTTCCCTCCCACAAACAAAAAAGACCCATCTCAGAGTTAGACTGCCAATTAAGCACTAAAAGGAGCAAAGTATCACGGAACATGTCCCGACACAGATAGCATACGGGTCACGATACCTGGTGCAGTCGAGTATTTGGGCTCTGCATCCTGTTCTCTCACGCCAAACTCACAATAGCCATCACACACAGACCACATCTAAAGCAATCCGCCAATCTTATTCGCTACCTGAGACATCCAGATAACCATTACAACTTCGTTTTAGCTCTGCAACACAAACATTTAAGCAATTGCCTATCTCCAAGTCAGCTCTGTCTACTGCCAACGATTGTTGAGCACAAGCCTCAAAACACAATTTCGAGAATCAATACTCGAATTCTTGCGTGATAGACCACAGCTACTGCAGTCGACACATTTTCCGAATCAATCCTGTCGCCAGCATATCGACAAACTCAAATTACTCTACACATCCCAACCACTGCAATAACATTTTGCCGCAGGCACAGCTATCCGAATTCCGCTAGCTCGAGTTCCAATACCTCACAAATTCGAAACAAAAACACCGCTACATCTCCCTAAACAGCACAATCCCCACATCACCCAATCACATGCACCCATTAAAAAGCTACTTTGAAGCATACCTCCATCTCCATCACTTCCCAAAACCACCAAAACCTTCCCCGAATTACTCCAACCTGCTCAAAACATAAACCGATTACCGCCAACCTATCACTCCACTACGAATCGAACAGAACACTGCTCTTTGAACTCCCGCAAGAACTAAGTGGTTACAAGACGCAGAACAAAAGGAATCACTTCCGCACTAGTGAGTACAGAGACATGGGCACAAAAAGAAAACCCTAATTTGGGACCAACATGAGGTTGATGTAACACCACGGCCTGGGCGATCACGGACAATTCAAAAACCTTCACAATTAGCAGATTCTTCCCGATAGATTCAGAGAGTTGAAAACATGGATGGATATTCTGGGCTCGGTGACGTCAGAACCATGAACCAGTCTCCACAGAGTTCAGATCTGCTTCTGTCGCCAACACCGTTGAAACTGTCTTATACAGCGATACTGTCTTGATTAGTCTAATTATATATTTGTTATCGTTTGTCTAAGACATCTAAGGAAATTCCGAGGTGATTCGCAGGAGATATAGCTCAGTGGTAGAGCAATCGGCTGCAGTCCGATAGGTCGGTGGTTCAATCCCGCCTGTCTCCTAGATGGGTGTCCAGTGAAATGTGTAGCCTACACGTGATGACACATGCAGATAACTCCTTCTTTTAGCATGTCTCATTTTGATAAAATAGCCATCTCAAACACCTTGCACTGTAACTCCCAACGATCATAGTAGCCTGGATAATGACGTCTCAACATGTAGAATGAATAGTACCTCGCAATCCCTTTGGCCACGTTCGTTTGTTTCGCGTATCGCCTCTCTTGTTAGAGATGTCGTTAACTGTGCGATTGATGTAGCTCCCCTCATCACCGCCTGATAAACCACACACAAAACTGCAAACACCTCGTCTTTGCAGTCATCTCTACAACTCGCCTTTCCCACCAAAAGCTCCGCAGAACGTTGGACCAAAGATTATGGGTCCCATGGAACTTATCGACCTGTGCTCCACAAACTGTATTTGACGCTGAAGTGCGGTCACATCACTGGGTACCCCGGCCAAGTGAAGTGCAGGCTGTCGGCCGCCCATAAGTACTCTTGCCCAAGGGTAACAGGCGACTTCAATCGTGACCACGAAGGCCCTTGATATGAATCCAAGGCGACGGCGGGGTAGACGATGGAAGGAAGCACTGCTTTTCAATCTGGAGATGGAGGGTCCTCGACAAGATGGAGGGTCCTCGACAAGGGTGTTTCGTCTTGTCTCTGAATAGATTTCAAAACGAGGTTGTATTAGAAATCAGAAATCACACAATTAATAGATAACCAATCTGTGGTAATGCCAACACTGAAAAGATACTATCGAGGAGTCACAACCCTTTGTGGTTCATCTTCTTCGACAAGATAAAAATAGAAACACAACACAATGTAAAATCACTCTCTTATTCATAATAAAAATAAAAAATTAATTTTAGAATTACACTCCTAATTTCAATAGGGTATCCAACCTTAGAAAATTATAGAAAATTAAAAAAAAATGAAGCCTAGAAGACGAAGGGATGTATGAAAGACATTTTTGATAGAAATTGGGGCATGAATAGACCCTCCCTCATAAAGATGGCTTCAAACAACATCAATACCAATGAATGGCCAAAATTTGATGGCTCTTTGTACACAATGTAGAGGCAAATAATCAAGATGAAATTAGAAATGGAAGAATTGTGAGAGATGGTATGTGGAAAAGAAAGTAAATCTAAACCAATAATAGAAGAAATCACATCAACAATAACAAACCAAGTAGCAATATTTACATTGAAGAAAAAATATCATACTGCACCTGGAGCAATTTATGATTGTATAGATAATTCCATCTTTGTATTTGTAGGAGTATGCAAAACTAGCAATGAAGCAAGATTAGCTTCAAATATCACCTTCTGTTACTTAGCATTTTTAGAAGAGAATCCCACCTACACCATATCTTAGTTAGAAGAGTGTATTAGAAATCAAAAATCATACATTCAACAAATAATCAATTTTCAAGGACAAGAACTCAAAAAAGATATGTAAACAAATAAAAAATGAATAAAAGAGATGATAAAGTAGAAATAAGAAAGTAAATATATTTAACCAAAAATTAGAATGGCTATTGTCAAAAATTAAAAAACTATAGATTTTTAAAACTAGACTAGAAACAAAAAAGGAGTTGATAAAAGTGAAAGCTTCACTCTTACCTCTATATATACCATCTACCTAAGAGCTATGCAGCAACGTTTTATAGGATCTCCAATACATGTCTAATTGCAAGACACTTGTCTTAACTTGTAAGACAAGTTTCTTATAAGTGCACCACATCATTAACTTGTACCACAAGCTATCAATAAGTGTGACATGTGGCTAACTTATTGGCTAAGTTTTTAACCTATCAATCACCTATACACATGTATAAAGGTGAAACCACTTCTGTAAACCTTTTAGGAAGCTTTTCCATAAGATGTTGTAAAATTAACTTACTTCTACGTATTCATATTATTTAGATAATTATAGGTATATCCATAACATCAATTTGTATTAATGTCAATGCTAAAAAGATACTATTGAGGAATCACAATTCTTTGTGGTTCACCTCCTTCACCAAAATAAAATAAAAATTCAATATAATATAAAATCACTTCTATGTCTAGAATAAAAGTAACAACTCAATGTTAGAATTACACTCTTAATTCCAATAGGTTAATCTTGTCAATTCTAGTACATGTGTTGTAGTGTAATGCTTCAAGATGTTGCATTGAGATAGCCAAAATCGAAGACATTAAGCTTGCGATGTGAGAAAATTGCAATAGTGGCAATAGATGTAAGCTTAGTGGATGCCCTCTCAATTCTTTTGATAGCTTATCAAAAAACCATGAAGTCCTTTTGATATGTCTGTATACAATTGTAAAAAGGACAAACAATTAAAAAATAAATAAATAAATAAATTTCTAATTATATATATATATATATATATATATATATACATAATTTATTTATTTTTGTCAAACTATACTTCTAGGTTACAATTCTTATCAAAATTATGCTAATCATGCAAAGATTCAAGACCTATATTGTTGAAATATTCTTTGATATATTTTATTATTTATTAATATATTAGAGATATATTTAAAAAATAATTTATGTTCATTTTATGTAATAATGAAAAAAAAAAAAATACAACTTCTTTCTTGCTTCTAGTCTAGTTTTAATTATAAATTAAGTCTAATGCAAAATTAGTTCTAGAGCTTGCTATATTGATTATTCTCACTTTTGCTGATTATATTACAAAAATTTACCTTTTTACTATTTAGGATTTTTTTCTTTCTACTTCATTTCTGATTTTTTTTAAAATGTGTTTAGAAGTATTATGTTTGATTAAAAAAATCAACAAAAAAAACTATCAAGTTAAAAATTTTCACATATTTATATTAAATTTTAATTTTTTTCTAAATTGACTCTTTTATTTTGAATTTTTTCTTATAAAAATATATCATATTTCAAATATTAGAATTGAAATATTAATATAAAAAAATTAATTTTATAGTAGAACAAAAAAATCCTCTGATTTTTAAATCTTAAATATCTATATTTATATATAATCTTTTTAACAATTTTACTTATTATAAGATTTTTTTGATAGATTTAAATGAATGTATATATGTATGTATATATGTATGTATATATATAATACCATATAATATCATACATGTATATATATATAAGGTATTATTATAAAATAAAAGTAAATAAATTATTTTTTATTTTAAAGAATTAAAAAATGACATTATGTGTAATTTTAATCAAATACATATAAAACATATGTATTTGTATGTATATGTATATATATATATATATATATATATATATTATTATATTTTTGATAAATAAATAAATAGAGATTTTAACAAGCTTCTCTCTTACAAATATATAAAAATTTAAGATAAATAGAATTATAGTATCAACTTATAAAAATATTTTTTTAATAAATTATGCATTCTTTTGGTCTTATCTTGTATTAAGACATTTTTTAATGAGAAAAAAATTACTAATAGTTTTTGTATAATCTTTTTTTATTGTGAATGTCAGTCAATTCACTTTATTGCTAGAACATCTTCAATGTTTGTTGATGGTATTGTGTTGATATTGAACAAAAAATTAATTTGGATTATTGTAAGTTTAAAGTTAAATCCATAGATTCCATCTATTATTTGATATAAAATGTTAATGTGTTGTATGTGTTTTTGATAATTTAATACTTATTACTTTAGTGAGGGGAACAATTTTATTGTAATACAAGCTCTATTCAAATCTGTCTTAAAAAAGTTAGAAGAAACTTGATGACCATAGGTGATAAATAAATGCACAAAATCAATAAAAGATTCCACAATATTGTGACTATTGAGTTATTTTTAGGTTGTAGGAAGAATCATCAAAATTATATAGCAATCAACCATATTGACTACCATGCATTATTTGATTAACATCAACAACCTATTAGAAGACCATTTGTACTTAAAACCCAAAAAAAAAACTTCAAGCTATGCAGCAAAGTCACCTTGGAGATGATCTACAAAATTAGTACTTAGTATTGGACATTTTAAAAAGTTTTCATTAAAAGTGTTCATTGTGCATAAACTTTAGCTTCAGAAATAATAATTAATAATATTTTATCTATTAGTGAACATCAGAACGATAATGTATGAATTAATAGAAACCCTACACAAACTTTCTTTATGCCTCTTTAAATTAATTTAATGTAAAAAGTTTGTTTTGACTTTCTATCAAAACAATATTGACTTATTTTGCAAAGTTTCACTCAATATTGATACAGACAACTATTGGATTTCATCTATTTTCCGTTCTGAGATAAACTGCTTGATTTTTGAAAAATATGACATGAATTTACTTCAAAGAATGATTAAACCACTCCAAAACTTGCATTCTACGCTGAACCTCAGGTACAACATTGAATTGACCAAAATACTATTCTGTTGGGAAAAAAAACTGGCATTAAATGAAACTAATATTGTGCATGGCCATTGACACCATTCAGATCAAGTACTGAATCTGGCTGGAACTGACTATGAAATCCAAAAAAGTCTCCTAAACCTGTTTAGACGAAGGGCTTACATTAGTTGTCTCACAGATCGAGTGTTGTGTTGCTATTCTCGGAGGAGAGCAATATTGTGTGTGCATGCGTGTGGGTGTTAAGAACATTAGTGGAAGTTCAACACAATTGATGTAAATTCCTGCATAGTCAGTACAAATACCCTTTCAGAAGCTGGGGCTGTGTTGTTGAGTTGACAGAGCTCCAATGTCACTGGTTGTGAGTGTAGTGCATGCAGGTGAGTAATAATTTTACATTGCAAGCATCATAGGTACGTAACTATTTGCTCTTTGAATGACTTCTTGGAATCCCCTGGAGTATCTGTTCGAGTCTGTAAACATCCTTGTTGGGTATGGAAGTGGAAGAATCCGTGTTTGGGTTACCACGGTACAAGAAACTCAATTCTCTAGTCAAGAAGCAGTTGAGCGTGTCTGTGTGCGGATAAAGAGAGGAAGAGGTTAGCGTTGCGTTGTTCTTCGGACGCTTGATGACGTTTAATGGAAGGTGGAATGTAAAAGACTACTTCAAAGTAATTTGATGTGCAAGTTCATGTTCCCCGGAGCTTTGAAAGTAATTGGGAGCTTGCAGAGTTTTGCATTCATATTAAGCACGTATCTGGGTTTCTGTGCTTTTTGCTGCAGGAGTAGTTTGAGTGTGAATAAGAGAATTACAGGTGTATCAATATGCATTGAAGCGTGCATTCTGCAATGTGTCTCATTTCATGTTTTAGTGTGCATCATAGTGATATATGTGCAACATTGTCCCTTCCCCCCGTTTTTTTTTTGCCTCATTTCCGCTTCCCAGGTGTGGAACGGATCACGTTCTGATGACAAGACTTGTTTCGTGTGGCAATTGGTAATGTGAAGGGACCAAGATGTTATGCTGGGCGTCTAGCTCGTGAAAGACTGGCAGACAAAGGCTTCAGCAAAAGAAGAAACTCAGCGTTTTTCAAACAACTTTAAGCTCATGAATCTCCAATG